ATTCACCCCTGAAGGCACCTGGTGGTGCCTTCAGGGGTGAAGCTACAGTTGCAGGTACATGAATCGTATCATTGACAGCACAGCTAAAGTGCGACACTCACTGCAGCAACGAGCTGAAGCAATTATGCTCGCCAGATACCTCACAAACACTATGCGATGTCGCACACAGCTTTACAAATCATCGATTGCTAGATATGTGGTACACAACACAGCTAAAGTAATTCATTGAGTTCAGGGAAAGAAAAAAGTCACAGTTTTGCCAAAAGGGTGAAGCAATGAATGCAATAAAAACACATTCGAATGCTTTACGAGCAAGGCTAGCATTCGATCGCACGTAACTCTACAAAACGCTGGTGTAAAAGCGCGTTTACACTAGAGCGACACGACACTGACCCAGCCCCGACGAAGACACGAGGCAGACACAAACTATCAGCCGATGAGTCGCCCGCTGACGAAGTCACCAGACCCCAAGGTCACACTAGGCCGACGACGACAAAGCCTCAAAAGACAGCATGTCGTCATGGTGTAACATATTGACAGACCGAAAACACCAGCAAAACACTATGGCAGACCTGTTATCAGCGTGTCGTTGGGAAATCTGCGGCTGAGCGAAAATTTGCCCATGTAATTGCTTCAAATGACCACAAAGAGGGAAATCTTGGGGGAGATAACAATGCCCCCTCCAAGGCTTCCACGGCGTTTGAATAGGCATTTTGCACACCCCACGGAAGTCTTTTTTTTGCTTCCTTTTTGTGTATCCCCACCCCTGTCCCTAAATTGTGGCGATTGTGGTGGGGGCTGCACCACATAGCCGGAGAGGGACAATGGCAGAACAGGGAGCATGGCTGAAAATGAGGTGCAGGTGTGCAAGTTTAGTCAGTGTCGTTGCATGTGCCTCCAGTGTGACTACAGAAGTGGCCAATGAATGGTTGTGAGCATGACAAGGCACGGACGGAGTCTTCCAGAGACCATCGAATCACTGTTTATGTTTTTGTGTAAATGTAACACTGACAAGACAAAAAGACACCCCCAAAGACCATCGGCAGACCAAAATCAGTGTCGTGTCTCTCTAGTGTAAACGTGCCTTAAGAGAACATGGCCGCTTCGGTACACTTTTGGAACCGTTTTTTTAGTGTTGAGAGCGAAGCCCGTAGAAGCTCCTGCTTGCTGTGTGGGCACAAGGTGCATGGTGATCGTTGCCGCGATAGCGCGGCAACCATTAGCGCCCACCCCCCTTGTTCGCTCATGAGATAGGTGCGTGCGTAGATGACCACGGCCAGAAAGGCAATGTTCGGCCCGCAGAAAAAGGAGGCTAGCATATCCTTCCCTCCCTATCTATACATAGATATACATATACGTGAATGACGGCAGCAGCGACAGCAAAAACCAGTCGAGACTGTCCATATAATTGCTATCACAATAAAACTCAAGATAAACACTGTCGCTCAGTTCACATCAACACGGAGCACCTTGTAACACAAGCAGACAACACTTGCTGTCCACAGGAGGTTCCGAGACGTAGACTGAGATATCTAATAAGATCGGTCACCGTGTGCTATGCGTACTGGAACATTTCTACATGTAAAAGGTGCGAGCAGTTGAAAAGTTGTTTGGCTGAGCCGCTGTGATCTGCACCAAATACATGTTTAAAGTCTTGTCATAAATTACACAATTGACGCGCAGAGCTTAAATTGGTCTTAAAATGATCCTTAGTATTTTGCTTTACTGGCTTATGGCATTTATACAAAATTTTAAACACCATTCCAGGGTCCATTTATTTGAAACCTGTGCTGCAACTTTGTTAACTGCTGCTGGTGAAGTCTTTTGTAACCATGATGTCGAATACACTCAGCTTGTATCAACACAGCCAGCCTGCCCTACTGCAGAGCAAAACCTAAAAGATGCCACACAGTGTTGCGACTTCCCTTTCCCTCCTCGTGAGGAGTTTGAATATTGTGGACTTTGGTAAATGCAAACTCGTTTCGCTGGATCATCAAGGTTTGTTGTAAGGAGAGTAGACTGCACTGTGTCAAATTTTTGCGCTACGTGATCGGATAAATACTTTCACTTTAGTGCTAGAAAAGAGAGAGACTATGTCAAAATTTTGCGCTACGTGTTTGGATAAATACTTTCACTTTAGTGCTAGAAGAGAGAGAAAAAAGTGGGTAGAGAAGAAAAGACAGGGAGGTTAACCAGTCTATGATAGCCGGTTTGCTACCGTACTGGGGGAACGGGAAGGCCAGTGTGATGGACATATGATTGACTGCATGTTTGTGCGTGTGCTATGTTATGTGTTTTCTATCTATTTCCACTCTTTCCTCTCCCTTTTCGTGCTACAAAAAGCACCACAATGGCTGCCCCCTAGTCATATGCTGTACAGTGAAAGTAAAAATTGCAGTTTTCTTTATAACGGTCCAAAAGAATAAGATAAACATTAAACAATACAGCCGATGTCCGATTTCTCGGAAGCCTGAAATTCCGTACATGCCCGATTTCCCAGACTCATCTGTGGTACCACCGTCAAGTTCCCCATACAGTCAATGTATTAAATAGTCCAAAATTCTGCATGTTTATAGCGTTTGTCATTCGATTTTGCGGACTTTTTATCACTAACCGCAAACTCGAAGTCACTATTTCACCACTTTGCGCCACTATTTTGCCCAAGTCGCCATTTTACTTTTTTTCAGACCCTCCAACCCATCGTGTCATGACTGCCGTACCCTCGAAACCGAAAATGCCATATTCTAGCACATGCCAATCTGTTACCAGCCGTAGCTTAGGCCACATGGTGCTGTGCAGTTAAAGTGGGTAGAGCTGCGTGTGCTCCGACCGTGAGAAAAGCTACGTTGTTGACATATGGTTCGCCCTTGGCATGCTTGCAGACTTGTGGAAGACGGTTAGGCAACAGACCCTCCGGAACTGTTTTCGTTACGGGAGCTTCATACGACCGTCTCGCCCAGAGTGGACAGTGCGTATGACGAACTTCCACCCGCAGACGTTTCCTTCAACAACCAGCACGTTGCCGGTGTTTTGAATTCAGCTGGGGCAACCCTTGAGGTTTTTGTCGACACTGACAAAGACCTCGAGCTGTGTGCGCAATTGACCGATGACGAAATTATTCGTCAAGTTATGGAGGATTCCGACGATTCCGACACAGAGATCGAAGAGGCAGCGCCTTCACAGAAAACGAGCTCGCAGTTGACGTGAGCACTGCCATTGTCATCAGTGTACAGCGACAGCATGACGCTAACTGAAATTGAGACAGACATCATTGGTGGCAAGTAGAACATCGTGCAAACGAAAATAAGCGACCTACGTTTTTGCGCTTAAGTGTCCACAAATGCAGTATACCGCCGACAACATAGGATTTTTTTCTTTCGGCTCTGTTCAGAGCTAGCTAAACAACATTTGCTGAATTGCTATGAGAACCCTGTACCCCTGCTGCGACCCTCTCTGTCAGCGAAAAACACTATTAAAAAGCGTGTTTTTATTTGCATTCGTTTTTCCGGACTGCCTGATTTTCCGAACGTTCTGCCAGTCCCTTAAGGGTCTGAGAAATCGCATCTCACCGTATATGTAATAAACTGTCCGCTAGAATATTTGAGATGACCTGTTGTTTCTCCTGACCAGATTCTACTTCAATGTGCCCTTTTTTCAAAGTTTCTTACGTGAAGTTCTGGTACGACCTAACACAGCGGCAACATTCCTGCATGCTCGGCGCACACACTTTTAATAATATTATTATGTGGGGTTTAACCCCCCAAAACCACCATATGATTAGAGACGCCAGAGTGGACGTCTCCAGGAATTTCGACCACCTGGAGTTCTTTAACGTGCAACCAAATCAGAGCACACGGACCTACAGCATTTTCGCCTCCATCGAAAATACACTCGCCGCAGCTGGGATTTAATCCCGCGACCTGTGAGTCAGCAGCCGAGTGCCTTAGCCACTAGACCACCGCAACAGGGCACGCACACTCAGTTTTGATATAACCCGGATTGTGGCCTTCGATTTTGATAATTACCTCAAATTTTGTGTTTCATTTGGGATTTCTAAAAAGCAGATATGCCATAAATTGCCACATCTTGCTGTTCCATATAAACAACTGCCCACCATTAGTTAAGTAAACTGTTAATTAGCAAGTTTTTGTTAAACACTGATTTGAATAAAACTTCAGGTGTGCTGAAGTCTTTCTGCCTCGACAGAGAGTTTATGTGCAGTAACGACAGAGATGCAACTGTCACAGCATTTTATAAAATATCTGTCTCATTTAAAAAAACATATACACACACTGTATTTTTTATTATTGCATAAAATGTTACCAACATAGAAGTCGTCGGAGGCTGAAATAGGCAGTTGGGTATTATAAACACCTCAGGACATTGAATGGTTTATTGTGAAGGCAATGTGCTTATTTTGGTGCCTTAATGATTTATGGTATTGACAAGGTAGAAAAGGGCAGGGGAGGAGCTTGAAAAGGTTCCTCCCCCTCCCTACTCTTTCCCATTATATCAATATATCTGATTTACCTCCACCTTAAAATTTTATTTTATGGCAATGTTACAATGCCACTTCAGACGTGCTACGACCTTCACAATATTTTCACTCTTGCTTGCAATTAGGTTTCCCGCAAAGGTACCATTTATGCATGCAGAAGGCGAATTAATCAGGGGGCCCATTTTTGTTACACGGAAATATATGAAGGCAACAGATAATAAAGCCAAGGGAAGCTCCCATTTTTGTTACACGGAAATATATGAAGGCAACAGATAATAAAGCCAAGGGAAGCTTAGGGACCATTATTTACAATTTATAACAGAACAATGATAAGATAAAGAAAACTGAAAGTGGAAAAACACTAAATGCTACCAGTGGGAACTAAACTCTAGTAGAACCTTCATAGATTAAAACGCCATTCCAAAGTGCAGTGTTTGCCTGCACTAAACGCAATAAATTGGAAACTAAAACTTCATCTTGGAATATTTTTGAAAGTACTGACCAGATATATAACTGGTGGTCCACCAAGTAAAGCAATGGCTGTGGACAACTTGCGCTTGTTGCCACCACTGTATGTTCCCACCACACGGTCAGCATATGAGGTCAATCCTAGCTTTTGCAGAGTCCATTCAATAACCTGAAAAAATTTTTTCGGAAAAAGAAAAGTTTAAATACCAACGGATATGATCACATGATGGCAAATAAAAAGAGCTATGATTCAAATAATCGTTGAGCCTAATGGTAAAAACTTAAGAGCAACTATAAATGCATGGAGATAAAACTAAAAGGTGAAAATATTCAGCAAGGCACCAGAAAAGTACAGCATAGCCAGATTTTTTCTGCATTTTTCATATAGTCTATGGCAACAATTTTGACAGTGCTGCAAGATCTCATTACAACACTTGCATGCATCAGGTAGTCTGTCATTGCCATTGTGTACCGTGCAAAACACGTACAGTAAAATTATACATATATGAGCAGAAAGAGAACTCTCATAAGTTCACACTCCAAAAACCAGCCAATGGTCATTGATCGGCAGATTTCTTGCGTTGTTGATAACAATGGCTGCTGAGTGGCTTCTCTTGGTATAAAAGACATGCGGAGCATCTCAGCATCAAACTTAAAAGCCATGTATAAGGAAAACGAGGATTACAGATGAAAAGTTTGTGAACTTTGCTGCAATAGACCAGATAGCAGTGAAAAACAGGAATAAGCACAGTGTTTGTAGTGCAGGATGTGGAAGTGCTTCGCAAGGTACGATACAGTGATCATAGAATGATAGAGTCTCAAGTTCACCTACACTAGGAGAAGGAACAACAGAAACTGATATGCAAGAAGCCAATCAATCAGCTAGCACTGAGAGGGAAAGTACGGAAATTCAGAGTCTCGCTTCAGAACAGGTACTCGGTTCTTATCGAGGAAACCAGCATTAGCGTTGACGCAATGAATGATAATCTGATGAGTATCATTATGGAGTGTGCAGTGGAAGTTGGAGGCACGGTACTTAGACAGGACACTAGAAAGCTGTCCCAGGAGATGAAGAATTACAGGCCGATCAGCTTGCTTTCCGTTGTATACAAGCTATTTACAAAAATAATTGCTACAAGCTATTTACAAAAATAATTGCTAACAGAATTAAGACAAAATTACAATCGAATAAATAAAAGGAACAAGCAGGATTTCGACCAGGCTACTCAACAATCGACCGCACTCACACTATCCAATCAGATATTATAGAGAAATGCTCAAAATACAGCCAACTACTATAAGAGAGGCATTTGCCCTGCAGTGAACGTAGTCAGACTGATGATGATGACATCTTTGTACTTAAACTTTGCAGTACAGTATGGAAAGCAAGAGAGTTCACAAATTCTGCATGCTGGAACTCATGCATGGTTCAATTTTTTCAAACGTAATGTGTGCACCTTGTTTTCATCCTTCACTGGGATACCACGAAACCTTGAGTACAGTCTCAAGTGCTCCTTGGCTGTAAGTTCGTCATAGAGAGCATCAAACTGGGGACAATAGCCAATGTACTGTTGTGCTTTGTTCAGCTCACGTGACACACTGCAAGAAATGTGGAGCACAGTTTCAATCAAAAAGACACATGTGCTGCATTATGAGTGCACAGGGTCGAGGGAGTGCAAGTACAATGTGAAAGTTTTTCTACTTTCACCAGCTATGTTGCAAACATTTTCTTTATTATATAAATATGTTTAAAAATATGAGGCAGTTTTTTTTAAAGAGAGCATCCAATTCCCATAGAAATCCTCAGCAAAGGGGAATAATGCTTTTATTTACCTGTGTCCATTTAGATAAGCATCTCCTGATGTTATCTCTGTGTCACCAGTTAGCATTTTGAACGTTGTGGATTTTCCAGCACCATTAACACCAAGAAGGCCAAAGCACTGAAATAAAGGCAATAAATAATTACAAGAAAATTATAAAAAACATTTTTTGCAAGCCGACAATCTCAGTAGCTAACTGTTTCCAACTATGTGCATGGAATAATTTATAACACCACCAAAAACACCCTTTTACACGTGCAGAGCTTCTTTTACCCTAATCCCCAAGAAAACTGGATCATATATTTGCACCATTACGCCCAACACATAGTGATTATAAAAATAAGTTGCCCTGATGCACCTTATTTGCATAATAAACCAGCCATACCATCCATACTAACAATAGACAAGCAGCACAAGAAACTTCTCATATGTTGAAGTTATGAATACTGTTGTCAAAGCACAGAGTCAGATTCTCCCAACATCCTTTCCTTATCATGCAGGCTAAAGAAACTAGAAAGAACATGAAGTGTGAAAATTGTTTTTAGGGCTGCCAATAAATCGTGGAAAAGTTACATGCAATCAAATTGTGCGTAATAAAGTAGAGAAAAACACAGGAACTAAACAACAAAAGTTTGACATGTGTTTTGTAAAACATTACTAAATTAAGCACCATAGAGCAGTAGTCCTCAAAGTTCCTTAAGCTATCATTGCTTTTACAGACTACAAACAGGCAACCATATATTACCGAGATTAGTTAGGCATAAATTTTCATTAACAGAAGGAATGTCTCATTGCATAAATACACCAAAATTTGATGACTGCACAGCTTCATCGAGACATTCGAGACATACGGAAGTAAAAGTGTAACTTATAGTTAAGGTTTCGAGAATGAGTAACAGTAGAAATTCGCACATAAAGCAACCTTCAATTAGCTCCCATAAAAAGCCAGGCCTAAAACATTATTCTTAGGATAGCCTTGCACATGCTTCAGATTGGCAGGAGCACTGCTATTCTTTAGCAAATGAGAAGTTTTGTGTTTACTTTCTTTTCCACCACAGTATAACTTTTAAGATGATATTGGCAATCATCATCATCATCATTATAATCATCAGCCTGACTACGTCCACTGCAGGACAAAGTCCTCTCCCATGTTCCGCCAGTTAACCAGGTTCTGTGCTTGCTGCTGCCAATTTATACCCGCAAACTTCTTAATCTCATCTGCCTACCTAACCTTCTGTCTCTCCCTAACCCGCTTGCCTTCTCTGGGAATCCAGTTAGTTACCCTTAATGACCAGCAGTTATCCTGTCTATGCGCTACATGCCCGGCCCATGTTCATTTCTTCTTCTTGATTTCAGCTATGATATCCTTAACACCCGTTTGTTCCCTAATCCACTCTGCTCTCTTCTTGTCTCTTAAGGTTACACCTACCATTTTTCTTTCCATTGCTCGCTACGTCGTCCTCAATTTAAGCTGAACCCTCTTTGTAAGTCTCCAGGTTTCTGCTCCGTAGCTAAGTACCAGCAAGATACAGCTGTTATATACCTTCCTCTTGAGGGATAGTGGCAATGTACCTGTCATAATTTGAGAGTGCTTACCAAATGTACTTCACCCTATTCTTATTCTTCTAGTTACTTCAATCTCGTGGTTCGGCTCCGCGGTTATTACCTGCCCTAAGTAGACATAGTCTTTTACAACTTGAAGTGCAGTATTACCTATCTCGAAGCGCTGCTCTTTTCCGAGGTTGTTGTATACTACTTTCGTTTTCTGCAGATTCATTTTAAGACCCATTTTTCTGCTCTTCTTGTCTAACTCCGTAATCATGAGTTGCAGTTCGTCCCCTGAGTTACTCAGCAATGCAATGTCATCAGCGAAGCGCAGGTTACTAAGGTACTCTCCATTAACTCTTATCCCTAACTGTTCCCATTCTAGGCTTCTGAAAACCTCCTGTAAGCACGCGGTAAACACCATTGGGGAGATTGTGTCCCCCTGCCTTACACCCTTCTTGATTGGTATTCTGTTGCTTCCTTTATGAAGCACTATGGTAGCAGTTGATCCCCTGTAGATTTCTTGCAGGATGTTTATATATACTTCATCGACGCCCTGATTCCGCAGTGTCTGCATGACGGCTGATATTTCTACTGAACCAAACGCCTTTTCGTAATCTATGAAGGCTATGTATAGTGATTGATTATATTGGCAATATGCTGTCTTTTACCCTCCTCTCGAGCCCATCATCGTATGCATGCCCAATCTATTCAATGATACCGATCAACCGTACCCATCCCATAGAGCTGACCGCTTCTTTCATCATGACTTTTTGAATGCGTACAGTTTAGTAAAACAACATCCATCAACTCAGAACATTATGCTTACATGGTTGGCAATAAAAACTGCAGAAAGCAGTTTATCATTTGACAACAGTAAAAGAATAAGAGAATTATACCTCTCCCTTCGGAATCCTCAAACACAGCCGGTCAACAGCCAAATGCTTGCCCAGTTTCCTGGTGTGGTATATCTGCATATATATGACCAAAATGACACACATGGAAAAGAATAAAAGCACTAAACACCTGCTAAATAAACAATAACTGAAAAAAAGTCTTCTTAAAAGAACTAAACGAAGTTTCCCTTGTGTGATTCCCAAAACAAAGTGCCTAAAAATTTGTTTACTGAATAAATGACACCTTGAAGAACTGCACAAAGTTACCTTTGTTAGGTTCACCAGGCAGAGTGCTGCAGAGTCTGTTTGACCACTAAGAACACGTCTTCTTTCCTTTTGGACATCCTCATCTTCAGTGATATTAAGAGCCTCAGGCACAATTACTTTTCTGCAATTGATGAACAAATGTGCAAAATTGATGCATGTCTATGAAGCACCATGGAATTTTGCAAACCAAGCACAAAAATATCTGGCCCACATTCTTAGCACTCTGACCAATGTTTTTTTTTTTTTCCTCTACTGCTCTTCAGTTTTAGTAGATTTTTTTTTCGATTTTTCTGTAGTGGTTTGGTCAATATTTCACACTAAACAGCAGCCAGTTTTTCATTGCAATTACATTACTTGCCATAATTTCGTAAATTCCTTTTTCTGTCAAACTGACAAACCTATCACACTGGTCCCCGCCATCACTGCTTTTCAATACTCAGCTCCAGCAATTTCGTTTCTATTTTTCCTTTCTTTTTGTGGGTTCACGCAAATAACATTTCATGTGTAGTACACAGTAGTTATCTATAATTGCTTGCTTTGGAGTGAGAATACATCAATAGCTCATCAATCACCTTGTAAAAGTGCCGAGAGAATTGATCCGCCATGACTGCCCTGCCGAGATAGAGTGCCTCAGCACTTGACAGCACTAAGACACACATAGTCAAAAGTTTGAGTTACAACTTATGTTTAAACCACTTACATGCACATGGCACAACAGGTACGCAGTGTTTCTTATGAAGTAGCGAAGGTTAGGCAAAGGTGGTGCATGAATTATTCAGATAATGGCGTTGGAAGGCAAATGCTAAAAGGGAATACTAAAAAGAAAGCATGAAAAAATAAGGAACACATAGAAACTGGACTAAGAAGATGCCATCATTGAAATATGCTACATTCATTTCACATAGTTTTGAACAACTGGCTGTATTTTAAGAAGTACATGAGCATACACTGGTGGCATGCGATGGGGCGGAAGGCCTCATGAGGCTGCTCTCACGGCCACCCAATGAGGGCTGGCATGCCAACAAGCATGGCATCATGCATACCCAGGTGAGCAGCTAGAGATCTGGGACAGTGCTACGTAGGCACTGCCATTTATTTCGCAACAAGTCCAAGCCACACAGCAGATAACTAAAATTTCTGTTGACACTCTCTCTCTCGATCAAATGTCAACACCAACATAGAAAAGGGCACAAAACACCCCCACGTGAATTCTGACAGAAGAAATTTTAACAAGTTCGAATGAACCCTAGCCTCCTGCTACTAGGTTGCTGCCCCCAACATTTTAATAATTGAGAGTTGACCCACCAACAAATCCCTGGTAAGCGAATATTATATGATGATATTTGGGGTTTAACATCCCAAAACCACCGTATGATTATGAGAAAAGCTGTAGTGGAGGGCTCTGGAAATTTAGCCCACCCAGGGTTCTTTAACGTGCACCCAAATTTGAGCACATGGGCCTATAGCATTTTCACTTCCACAGGTAAGCGAATCTGTCCATTGTCTCCATTGAATAGTATATACCAAATCAAAGTTCCAGAAGTATCTATATAAATCTCAATGACACTTTCTATTTACCTTGTTTATCTTTCAATATTTTTAACCATTGAAACAATTTACCTCTTTGTAGGCTTTCCTTGTACCCTTATACAAACCCATTTATAAACTTTAGCACCTTACATAACTTTTGTAAACCTTCCTTGTAATTTTCTTCTCAACCAACCCATTTTTCAAATCTGCATCTCCTGCTACAACAAACAAGTGAAGCAGGCATGTGCGGGGGCTGTATTTTGACACCTCCGAAAAAGTTTGCACTGGTGTAATTCTCTCCCATCTCTGTTTTACAGCAAAAGCTGTTACGAGATCACAACAAGGGTCCCATGTGCCGTAGCTGTTCGCCACCGCTGGTGTCCGTAACCACTATTGCGCTAAAAAAAAAAAAAAAAACTTAGTAAATAAAAAACACCAAGAACACAATGGGATTTGAATCCGCGTCCCCTGCGGCCAGCCCAGTATTCTACCACAGAGCCACGCTGTTGCTTGGAACTTTGTTGCAAACTAGCCTTAGGCAGGCTTGATGTTGGGATTGCAATTGCGTTAAAATGAGTAATGAAGTGTTTTAGAACACCAAAGGAAGAACGAGGCATCAAATCAATGCAAATTGCATAACGAGTGGTTCGTCGAATGCCCTCACCCATTGCAAAAGCTTCAGGCATAATTCTTCATGGTCACTAGCCACAGCATAAAAAAAATTGCAGAAACTTCTTTGCAAGTATGTAGCGAATACCACACTTCTCTGAAGAACGACGAAGGTATAGGCATAGTGAATACTTGGACAATCCCCCCACAGTGGGTATGAACTACAAAAAGTGAACAAAAACAAGAATGTTTGCCTACTACACGAAAGTTATGATAATTCATGGTGTAGTGGGCACCCTGCAAGTGGACTCACAGCAACTACCAAGGAGTGTTAAAAAAGGCTCTGAAAGGCTGCTCTTTCAGCTTTTGCTGTGACTCTCCTGGGCTAAGGATAAGCATTGGGACCACCTAAACTTTGCCTTGAAAAAGGTCTGTTCTAGACCGAAATGTTGCATAAAAATACAGTTTTTTAGAGGAATAATCCTTCCTCCCCTCTATTTAACACACACACACACGCACACACGCATTCACGCACGCACGCACGCACACACACACACACATACACACACAAACACACACACACACTGAAAATTTTGAAGTATTCGCAATGAACAAATAAATGTATATCAGTCCACGTATAACCACCTGTAGAGATGGTTTCACTGCAATGTATAAATGCTAAGCTGTGAAAACACCTGTCCATAAAAAATCCGCTTTGCCACGAAGCTTTATTTCAAGTTTAAAGGGGCTCTGCAACACTTTTTCAGCATGATCAGAAAATGCTGCCACTCGGTGGTCGAGGCCACAGAGAACACGTGAGCCAAATATTATAGCGCAGGACGTTGCCTGCAATTCACAATAAATTCTCAAAGTTAGTTAAAAATTGCTCACTTGTCTGGTCAAATAACGCCACAAGCTCAAAAATCAATCGACACAGCCATTGTATCAGCCATTTCCTGGTTTGAGCATAGCGCTGTCAGTCGTTACTGGGGCCACCGCAGGAGACTGCCACTTGTAAAGGCGTACGTGCACGATCCCCGTGAAAAGCAGCGTACTCAAAAAGAAAAACGGAACAAAAAAACAGAGAAAGGAAAAAAGTGAAGGGTCACGCGGCGCATGTGATGTATTTTCTTTCACCATGCCATCCCTCCATGCTTAGCCTCTAGCGCTTTCGTCGGAATGAGAAGAGAGAATGCAATTGCAGTGTGAGACATATCTTTGTAACTCCACTCGAAATGGATAGATTCTAAAAATTTCTGCGGCGGCAAATTCGGGAGACAATAAGCTACTTTAGTGAATCCATTCCATGGCTACTTGAAAAGGTGTTGCAGGGTTTATTTAAATGAACATATTACCCTTAAATCGATTCATCATTTTTTAAGGTGAAAATTTTATGATGGCTTGTATGCTCCAATACAAATTTTAAAATGTTATGTATTTTGCAGGTTATTACTCGCATCATACTGAAAGTCAGATCCTACTACTACTCAAAGTTGTTCTGACTTCCTTTGAACAAAAAGAAATGGCATTTGCACAGAGACATCATGATAAGTATGCCCATTTCTGTATATGCCATACAGTAGACTCTCATTAAACGGAACCTGAAGGGACCGGGAAAATGTGTACCACTTAACAAGAGTTCTGTTTACTGAGAGGTGAGCTGGGTTGCAGCATTCAAGTATGAAACCAATCATATCAAAGACAGTCGTTCCAATTAAGCAGCAGTTCCGTTTATATGATTTCTGTTTAGCGAGAGTCCACTGTGTATACTATTTGAATTCAGTTCGAAATTATTCGACCAAAATCACTACTCGCTTCGAATCTGAAATTCACTATTCGCAAAAGCCTAATATATATGTGTGTATATATATATATATATATATATATATATATATATATATATATACACACAACAAAAAGAAGCACCACACAATGGGTACTTTTATTGCGATAGCAATTATATGGACACTCTCGGGTGGATTTTGCTATTGGCGTTGATGTCATGCACCGTATATGTATACGTATCAATATATATGAAAATGCAAGAAAGAAAAAAACCCAGAAAAAAGTACTTCGTCACACGGAATCGAACGTGGGACCTCTGCGTCATGAAAGTGAGGCGATAACCACTGAGCCAACCCGGAGAACGTTCTTCACCGTTCAAACGGCAAGCTATTCATATCTACCAGTTACTCCTGCTGTGTTTTCGGCATTACCAGAAAGATGGCGCAATGAGCGCACGTCGCCATATCACTCACTGGTGCCCGCTCTAATCTCCTACGCGTACTTCGCCCGGCTTAGAGAAGAGGAGCGTGCCCTTATCTCGCGGTGGCGAGGAGGGGAGAATCATATGCCTTGGCTGGCCTTGGACTTTACATGGAACGATTCTGCTGTAGTTACTGGGTGCACAAAGGTCCCTGCAATCATCGCAGTCTCTGTTCCTGAAAAGTGCGTGCATTTCAGACTCAGCGAAGTAACAAATGAGACGCTTATTCGCGTGCATCTGTACCTGCAGTACCTTTTGTGTGTAATTTGTGCGCGAGAAACGCGGGGCGCGTTTCTATCTGCTTTCCATTCTGCGCGTGACCTTTCAAATTGTTGCTATCACGTTCATTGCTTCGCCTTTGCGACAAAAGAGTGACTTTTTTATTATTATAAGAAGCTAAGAAAAAAAATATTTCACTCACTTTGGCTTCAAAAAGAAGTTGAACTCTAGAAGTAGAGTGAGCACCAAGAAGAGCATTCCAGACAGTGCCATGGCCAAAAGATTTCTGGTAACTAAATCCCACGCAAATGGTGACCGCATTCGGTCATACCGACCTGCAAGAAATATTTTGCTCAAAACAACATATAGGTCTAGAGGAACTGGTATAGAGATTCAAATTCACTACTCCATGACATGTGCACCACATGCCTAGCAATGAATGAAAGGAGTAAAAATTTAAGGACTTTTCCCTTTCTGTTTTCTTTCTTCTTTTTTTGTTGGACACAATATTGGCCAACTGCTTCACACTCGCTGCAGCAGTGCACTTACTAAAGCAGAAAACTCTCACTTGTGGTAAATGCAGCTTCTAGTTTCGATTGCTCTTGCCTGGGAATTTCTTCTATTCTTCACAGAGTTTACTATAGCTTCTTTAGAGCTTGGGATTATGGAGGGTGAGCTTTGTGATATCCTAAAGGAGGTTCCAACATTGTCTTTTTTACTGATTGAAAGGGCTTGCAAAATGCCAACCTTGTCAGGGACCTCAACTTTCTAAACAATCAGTTGTAAGATTGCTAGAGGCTTCCAGCATCCGACAAGTATGCACAGCGACATATGTTGAGTCTTTGTTCACATCGATACCATGTTTGCTCACCCAGAACCCATGCCTACATACAACCCGCATCTTCAAAAACCACAGAAACATAAAAGCTAGAAAAAATTTTAATTTTCCACGCCTTTGTCGTAAACCATGATGCACCTTCCTTGCATTATTGTGAAAGTGCCGTGAAGCCAACTTCCACATTTTTGCCTAGAAAATGCGCTGAAAATGCGCTGAAAAAGTGTTATAGCAAATCATAAAATATATCAGACCAATTAGTGAGTTCAACATATGTGAGTTTAACTGTACTGCTACTGCCTCCAAAACTAATGTTATTTAAAAAAAAAACTCAAAACAACACAATGAATTTAGCTCCTTCTCTTTGCATTGTTCATCCCACTAGCACAGTGAAATACAGCATTCATGCTGATTAAGGAATATGTGTTCATCTTCCCCTGCATGCACAGACATCATGCTAGTTGATTTTAGCAAACAAATGCTTACTACAATACACAGGCTGATAAAACTACAAAACTTTATCTAGCTGTTCAATGCATGGCTTACATTATCAATGCATCTCCTTTCAGATGAAGCTAAGACTTTTGTTATGTAAATTTTATGCTTTCATAATTACCATGATTGTTGTCAAGTTAGTCAGCTGTATATGCCATGCTCTATCAGTTTGAAACTGTGAGGGAGGCAAGTGTGCCCAGCCCCCTTTTCCTTTTACGGTAGGGCGAAAGCCTGGTTGCCGGAACACACTCACGGCCATAACTCGCGATTCCCCTTTCCCAGCACGCAGAACGGGTTTCCCCTCCCTCGGTGAGAAAAAGGTATTATTCTCATCAGGGAGAGGGAAATCGGACCAGTGAACAAAACTAGTCTTAGGACGGCCACACGCCCTCTCTGACACCGGCCTTGGAAGAAGGAGGTCGAACCAGCAATCCCCCCTGCGAGCCGAGGACGACAATGACCAAGGAGTAAGCATCTACCATTGTTTTCTGTACCATCTCTTAGCGACATATGTAGGCTATTGCTAACACCTTGCAATAAAGTGTCGTTTTGTTGACCTAGCCGGTTGCCTTACCGTATTCACTCGATTCTACCGCGCCCTCGATTGTAACGCGCGCCTGGTTTCCACGACGAAAAAAAAAAAAAAGTAAGACATCGATTGCAACGCGCACGCATTTTTCTCGTTGGCCCACACGATCACACCACTCGGGAAAAAGACTCCTTTCAGGAGCGTCTTCCGTTTAAATATGAGGTACGGGGGAAGCTTGTGCCTATCTGACGTGCAACGGAGCATTGCCGTCACTCTAGTTTTACCGTGGCCAGATGTCAGCACGCGAACTTGCTCCGCCCTTTCTTCTCAACGGTTGTGGTGCCAGGCATATCGATGTAAAGAGGCGTCTGATCGGCATTCCCGATTTGCCCAAGCAGGGAGCCGTTGTTGTGCCGTAAGTTTAGGACAAACCTCTGAAAACAGAAGCTTTTCTTCGTGCTCCTCCGGCAACTTTTGGCATATGCGCGTTCGGCTTCAGAGGGAAAAGCCTTTCCTCTTCATAAAGTTAGTTAACCAGCACCTGCTCGCTATAAACTGGCTCGACATTAGCCATTTTTCTAAGGCTAACTGCATAGCCTGCACTTGGAGCAGTTCTGTCGTCACGGGCCGCTGTGCCGCTCTCTGCTCAATCACATACTCGCCGAGCAGCTCTTCAATTTGCGGAAACCGACCCTGCTGTGGTCCGCTGAAGCCTGTGCGTGAATCTTTGTTGTCGACAATCTTCTGCTTTTGTTTCCGCCAGTCCCGCACGCACGTTTCGGGAACTCCGAATGACCGCGATGCAGCCCGATTTACGTCTGTTTCAGCACACGCGATTACTTTTCTTTTAAAAGCGGCATCGTGGTACACTCGTTGAGTTTTTGGAGTTGGCCCTTCCATGCAGTCGATGCTAATGCACACCAAGATGACGAACTCCTCAGCACACGTACGAAGTGCCACACATGGGAAACACATAGGCAGAAATGGCCGACGCGCTATGCCGACGCACGAAGAGGGCGGCCATTTTGGAATGCCGATGGCAATAGAATGACCGTATTCATTTTTTTTAGTACTTGATTCTAACGCGCATGCGATCTATGAACTCGCTTAACCGGAAAAAAGGTGCGTGTTAGATTCGAGTAATTACGGTATTCGCCCGAACCTGTGTAGCTGCAATAAGACGAGCTACGGATAGGGGACGTTAATCATGCACGGTACGGCTGTGTGCGGCTGGAACATTAGCTAGGCTTCTGAGTCAGCTGTACATAGGACGAACCCCCTACAAAACCTATCACAGCCACAATACTGAATAAAAAAAACTTTTTGTATAACAGGGCTTCCTAGCTGGACTATGACAGTCCATTGTCACAGGCATTCACTCTGCTATAGTTATAAAACCTTTGAAGTATACCATGAAACAAAAACAAAACTGAAGTCACCTGTCTTGAACAAGAAGAAGTTCTGGTACTCATTAAAAGCAATGTCCATTAATCCTCTTCCAAGGCAGTAGTTAGGAAACATAAGAAAAATGGCCTTGAGTAAGTGATGAACTTCACCAAGGTACTGAAAAATAAGAACAAATGCGTTTCTTTGTGAGTACATAAAAGGAACCCACCAGATAAAAAAGCAAAGACAAAGAACAACTCAAATTCTGTAATAAGCAGGTAACTGAGCCAACAGTAAATCTTGCAATTAAAAAGCACATGCAAGTGCAAAGAATATGTGGGCACAGTTACAAGCACTGTCTTAAAAAAAGAAAACACTTATGCTAGCACCAGGCTGAAAACATTATGGACATTTGAAGCTTCTACAGAAATTTACAAACAACGACCAAAAAAAGCCAGCAAACATTGCTGTGTTGTGCTGCATTATGTGCAGCTCAGTCACAATTGCTTTAACATGAAAACTTCTGTGACAGCTAGCCCACCCTTGAACATTGCCCTGATTAATAGTTTTAAGAAGGAGAAGTAAAACATACGGCATCATAGGAGAAAACTTCAAGCAAGAAGCTGGTCACAATACATGTGATCCCAACAAAGAGGTTGATCACAATAAGAAAAATATAGGCTGTGCTTGGCTCCTTGAATACGAAAGAAACAGGGTACATAACTGGTGTGATTGACCACCTGAAAAGAGTAAAATGCAGCAATGTAGATAATGGGTTCACCAAAGAGACCAATGCACTTCAGTCACAGATAGATTTTTTTACACTTACCCGTAGAGAAGAAACAATGAGAGCACAGCTGGGAAATTCTTTGCTGATGTATACGCAGGAATATCAAAAATAAGGAGAATAAGAACACAGCATGTTGCAGGGACAACATAGCTACACTGTAAGAAATAGAAAAAAATGTATTAGATGCAAAAATTTGGAATAATTATTCATAAATTTGATGTAATCACCAGAACTACAGTTATTTCGTGGTGTCATTAATGAATCCCCTACATCATTTAACTTTTAGCTGACTAAATTATCGTACAACTTTTTGATAAGCCAGATATTGCCTACGTGTGCCCAGATGAGTTGGCTGACTAAGTTTGTCGCAATTTTTGATCTAATGATCCAATTAAAAAATTATCTCTCATGACTATCATGACTAACTGCCAAGAATGACAAAATACATTGTATTTCATGAGAAAGAAACTATCTCTTACCAAAAAAAAATTCTATGTCAACAACTACAGCTAGAGAAATATTTCGCGATAGACTATGGGGCAATATCATTGATTCCAAGTAATTATCATTACCACTGCGAGTCTCTTTGTTTAAATTTTTAGGTGTACTTTTTAATGAGCACCTGAGTTGGACACCTCAAATAGATAAAGTACATGCCAATATGTCTCGATCGTTTTCGGTTTTAAATAAACTTAGGTCCCTAGTTCCAACCTGGTTAAAGCTCCAGCTATATCATTCTTTGGTTCATTCCCATCTACATTAATGTCTTTTAATTTGGGGCACAACTTCAAAAACCAATCTTGACAGGCTGTTAGTTTTACAAAAAAAGGTCTGTACGCTACATAGAAAATCTGCAACCTAGAGAACATACTCCTCCATTTTTCGGCAAGCTTCAGATACTTACTGTCTACCAATTATACAATCTTAAACTCAGCTTATATGTCATTAATGAAATAGGAAACACAGTTGGCAGTAAAGGCACTGTCACAGGCTGGATGGAGACCACCCGAACAGATTGCGGTATCCCTGAAGTAGGTCTGTCAGAGGTGCCATGATCGAGGCGAAATCCCGGACGAAGCGGTGGAAGTATAAGCAAAGCCCAGTGAAACTACTCAGCTCCTTGAGAGACGCGGGCCTCGGGAACTCGCGAACAGCACGTAGCTTAGCAGGGTCAGGAAGAACGCCATCCTTCAAAACGAGGTGTCCAAGAATGGTCAGCTTGCGTGCTCCAAAGTGACACTTCAAGTTTAGTTGGAAGCCAGCTGCAGAGAGGCAGCGTAGAACCTATTCCAAGCGAAGAAGATGTGTGGGAAAATCGGGCAAGAATACTACCACATAATCTAAGTAGCACAAACACGTGGTCCATTTGAGGCCTCGTAGGATAGTGTCCATCATGCACTAAAATGTTGCCGGCGCATTGCATAGGCTGAATGAGATCACGTTAAATTCATATAAGCCGCCTGGTGTAACAAAGGCAGTTTTTGGCCTATCATCCAGACTCATGGGCACTTGCCAATAACCAGAGTGTAGTTCAAGGGCGGAAAAAAACTCTGTGCCTTGTAAAAATTCGAGGGCGTCATTGATCCGAGGCAAAGGATAAACATTTTTTCGTGTTATTTTTGTTTAGATGACGATAATCTACACAAAAGCGTATCGTGCCGTTCTTCTTTTTCACTAAAAACAACCAGCGATGCCCAAGGACTGTTTGATAGTTTAACAACGCCGCGCTTTAGCATGTCACCTATTGGTTCATCGATGACATGGCATTCAGTCGGCGAAACACGGTACGGTCGCTGTTGTAGTGATGGGTGATTAACTGTGTCGATCTGGTGGCATACAGTAGACGTTCGACCTAAAGTAGCGCTGTGACTGTCAAAAGATGGCCAAAACTTGTCAAGAAGGCTCAAAAGCTCACACCACTGTTGTGAGTTTAGGCCTTCGTCGATGACACGGTTGAAAATGTCGGCAGTGGAAGGGCCATTTACAGAACAACAGGAGAGGGCGCTGATTTCTGATGATCCATCAGAAACATCAAGTGTAGCGATGGTTTCGAATAATTCTATTGAGCCAATACATTTGCTCCAAAGCAGCGTGATCATGAATGAGAATGGATTTCCCACAGGCACGTCGGTCGCACCACCTTGAAGAGTAACCAGAGCAGTTGGGAGCGGTGATAGGTGGTGATGAACGAAAGCAGCGGAAGGCGTGAAGAATGCGGTAGGGCCGAAGGTGGCAGAACACGACACAGGTACGAAGACAGTAGCGCGCGGAGGGATCTGGGTGTCATTACTAATGACCAACTTCACGTAGGAAGAGCGATCGTCCGCAGGTAGGGCATCATCAAGGGGACAAAAGACGACTTCGGCACGGGCGCAATCAATGACGGCTTGGTGATGAGAGAGAAAATCCCAACCTAAAATGATGTCGTGAGAACAGCGCAGGAGTACTACGAACTGCACTGTGTAGGGCACTCCTTGAATTACAAGTCTGGCGGTACACCCGGCCACAGGCTGCACAGGCTGTGCAGTGGCAGTATGAACAAACGAACCAATGTATGGCGTCGTCGCTTTTAGAATTGAACGGCAAACTTTTTCTGCGATGACAAAAATGGTGGCACCAGTATTAATAAGGGCAGGTACAGGTACACCTTCAAGAACGGCATTAATTACATTCCACTGCAAGCAAAGAGGGCTTGTGCTATGCGACGAGGATGCAGTTCTTGCGTCGAGAACTGCGTCATTTAGTTTTCCGCATCGATTGCAGAGGAACGTGGGTGCATTGAAGAGGGCGAGCGACAACGTGGAGAAGGAGATCTGCGATCAAAAGCTGGTCGATGGCTTGGCCGAGGAGGGTGCAATTTGGGGTCTGAAGTGTTGGCAAACGGTGGTCCCACTAATATGAATGTGGGTTTTCACGCGAGTGAAGTGGTCGGCGGCGGCACCGACATGCGACATGTTCTGGTAGACCACACGAAAAGCAGATCGGTCGGTTGTCGGCAGTGCGCCATGGATTTGGGAATCGGTGGACTGGAGTACGTGGCGGCTGGGCGGCATAAACAAGAGCACGCATGGGAGGCGGCACTCGGAACGTCGTGGTCATGGTCATGCTGCTTCGGCCTACGTCAATGGTGCATTGACTGGTGGCAAGAGCTACGAAGGAAGGACCTCAGACACTTGGTCTTGTATAATAGTCCGTAGAGTAGGACTAAGTGGCGCACTACATTCCAGTAGGCCGGAGATGAGCAAGAGTTGGCGGGCAACTTCTTTGCACACAAAATCTTTGATCTGTGAGAGAAGGATGAGATCTTGCGAGGGAGTTAAGCTGGACATCAATTCCTGATGTGGGACAGCACGGCGAATTATGAGACATTGCCAGTGGAGCTCATCATAGCTTTGGCAGAGCTCGGTAACTTGGGCGACAGTAGCTGGGCTTTCTGAAATGAGCATTTAGAATGCGTCCTCGTCGATACCATTAAAAATATGCTTGATGTGGTCCGCCTCTGCCATGTTCGCATCGACGCATTTGCACAAGTAAATGACATCCTCTATGTAACTGGTGAAATTCTCACCAGGCAGTTGAGATCTTGACTGAATGTGCTGCTCTGCACAAAGTTTGCGGACAGCAGGACGACCGAAGACTTTGCTGAACTTGGTCTTGAATGCTGTCCAACAATCTGTCATTTTGCATAGCCTCCGAAATAGCCGTGTACAGTTGCTGATCACGAAGACTCTTGACTGGCACACCTCCATGGGTCACAGACAAAAAACACTAAGCAGATGAAGTGATAATAATGTCAGTCACGAGCACTACCCCGCGCAGTCTGTTTGAAACTCGAGGCAGGATGGTTCCGCTGGGAGCTTGAGCCACTCCTCAGGCATCTAATAACATAATATCTGGAGTCTAATATCCCAAAACCACGATATGATTATGAGGAAGGGCTTCATAAATTTTGACCATCTGGTGTTCATTAACGTGTAACTGCCATCGCACAGTACACAGACCTATACCACTTCGCCTCCATAGAAATGCAACCACTGCAGCTGGGATCGAAACTGCGACCTTCTGGTCAGCAACTGAGCACCCTAACCACTACACCACCGCGGCGGACTTTCTCAGGCATCTAGTAGAGGAGGCGATGAGTACCTAAAAATGTAAAAGCCACATTTATATTTGTATGGCTACATTGCGAAAATTAACCCGTAATATAGGCCAAAATGCTATTTTTTCCAACTCTGTCACAACATTGTGCCAATGTTCCTCCCTGACTTGCTCCCACAGTACTTTATCGTTTATTCTAAGGACCGAAAAAGCCTATCATGTGAATATATTACTTATTTTAAAATCTGCGCTTTTTCTACAAAATGTTAAACATGCAGCATTAAGCAATTTTTTGCCAATGCTAAAAATAATGAAAGTTAGAACAAAAATGAACAAACTATTAAACTCATGAAAGACCAGTGTCTTAAAGATAACGGGAAAAATTGTTTAGTGAAAATCGCTCGTACCAGTAACTTTATATAAGATATTTAGCATACCACAGTTTCACTTTTGTGACCAAAATTCAAGGTGCCCTCCAGGCAATGCAAGCTTTTTTCACAAAATATAATTCCCCAATAAGTACTTCTCACATTCACATATACTAGCACGATTTTTTTCAACATAATTGGAGATAGTCAACAGTTTAACTGTTACACATAATATGTAATGACCCATATACATATATGGGTCATTTGTCATAAATAAATATATATATATATATATATATATATATATATGAGATCTAACAGACAGTAATGCCAAGGAATGTACAGGGGAAGTTATTAGAACCAATGGAATGTAAATAAGAAGAAAGAAAAGTGGATGAAAAAATAACCAGCCGTGTAGGAATCGAACCTACGACCTTCGAATAACGCGTTCGATGCTCTAACCACTAAGCTACCACAGCGAAGACTTTGCTGAACCTCCATCCTCCATCCACTTTTTTGGGTTTATATGTGAATTTAAAAGTAGGAGTGACAGTCAACGCCATCTATAAGCCAAGCGACGAGTGTGAAAACACTCTTTTATGCGCATGTTTGGCGTCACGTAGCACGTGAACTTATTATGAGTGGGCAGCTGATTAATAGTCCACTTTTCTTTCTTCTTATTTACATTCCATTGGTTCTAATAACTTCCCCTGTACATTCCTTGGCATTACTGTCTGTTAGATCAAACACACACACACACACACACACACACACACACACACACACGCACGCACGCACGCACGCACGCACGCACGCACACACACACACACACACACACACACACACACACACACACACACACACACACACACACACACACATATATATATATATATATATATATATATATATATATATATATATATATATATTGAAGACCAATTGTTTTCTTGCAGGAGTAAAAATTTTTTTAAAGCCAATGTTTAACCAAAAAATGACCAAAAACCAATATAGTTTAAATTAGTTGTTCTTGGCCCTCGGAGAGTGAATTGTCCCTTTTTATAAAATTGAAAATGGTCCCCACAAATCATCAACTGTAATAGTTTGAATGCAACTTTAAACAAGGCACTTTAGCTATGTCATGCCAAGCTTTGAAAATTCATGTGTGCTTTATAAGAATAGAACCAGCATAGGCACTGGCAATGAGCTACAGAGCAACATTAGGTGCTTTTTTACATCAGCTTAAAAGTTTCATACCTAATAATTAAAACATCTTTTAAAAGGACACTAAAGTCAAATAACAATTTACGTCAGAGTGCAACCTCAATGTATGACAAGATATAAAACGACAATATTATCAACAACAGTGCTCTACTTACCGAGAAATTAAGGTAAATGCACAAGAACACAAGTGCTGCAGTAGGACATTTTCGAAATGATCCCGATGACATCAGATGAACCGCATACAATTAATTACTAGTAATCCATCTAACTACACTAAATAAAGAACCTTCTGTGCATCAAGAGACGCAATAAAATGCTGCTTGTTCGTTTGTTTGATTCATGTAAAAAACAATCGTCGGACGCTACTATGGGGAGGAGCTCGAGTGGTTCAAAAATTCAATTTTCGCATGGTTACACGGGACAGGTGGTGCCATCTAGCAGGGTACAGTTGAAGCCAAAAAACAGTCTGCAATCTCGAAGCCAATGGCAGGAAATTGATCAATGGCCGTTGTTGCTGCTGTGGCTCCCGTTGCTTTCGGTCTGCTGCTACTAGCGCAGTAAAGTCGGGCAACGTTGTGCACGGCAACAGTGACGTGAATCAGTCCGGTCGGTCCACTGCGTGAGGCAGGTAATTTGAAGTGCGCTAACCCGATGCGGACCACTAAAACGTAATTTTATTTTCAAAATAGACCCTTCCTTGGCACAAAAGTAACACTAAAAGGTTTCTGGACCGCTATTTCAACAACCAATGTTAACTTAATAGTTGACTTTAGAGTCCCTTTAAAGTAGTATTGCTTTAAATGGCAAATCTTCAATGGAGATTATGTACAGACTTTTCAGAATATCCAGATAATTCCTATCTATAACATTAACTTCTGCAATTATTTTTGCAGGCTGCAAAGAGACTGCTTGGGATTTGAAAAAAGACCATGCAATTGGGCACTTACACGCGGTGACAGTAGTGCTCTCAAAAATTTTCCGAAAGACAAATAATGATGGCTTGAATGCAATGGCCTTGGCTTCCACTTTTGCAGAAATATCTGTTTTTTTTTAATGTTCAATACAATTTGTCAGAGTGAGCAAAACGTACATAAGATTAACAGTTTACCAGATTACCTCCGGAGGTTCACTTACTCATCGTTCTCATCGTAGACATGCGAAAATTTTTTTTTTGCTTGAGGCCTACTTAGTCTTTCCGTATACATGCAGCATTGAGCATTGGTGACGAATTTATTGTTACTTCATGCAAGCGCCTAGTCACGCAGTATGCTTTTAAAACTTCTGCACATTAAAGGTGCATCATAACTGAATTGAATTTTCAGATTCCATGCACTTTTTTTGCAGCTTTGAAAAATAAAACTACACGAGCTGTCAGAACTAAAATATATTATTTGAATGTTTGTCGTGTGGGGGTTCTTGACATTCTGCGGTGAGGTATTGCCGCTAACTGCGGAGCAAACTCGTGAAACATTTATTCTTATAACGTCACAGCTTATGACAAAATAAAACACCCCTTACTCATTATCCCTCGCCCTGGCTGGCCTTTGGTTTTCATCGCAAAGGCCATTTTGACTGCCACATCAACTACCGTTTGCACATCTGCAAGTGTTTGCTTGCAACTTTCACTCCAGCAAAGCATTTCAAAAACCAAGCATGCAGGCACTTAATTTTCACTTTAGTAGTGCACTTCAAAAACCTTTGCTGAATATTTTTGCTACTTCTACAAGTTTGAAGAAATGAAAGGCCTTAATAATGCAGTTTACTAGCCTGCATCCTGCTTTGGAAGGGTTCGATTTTCTTGAGTAAAGCAGACAGCATAGATTTTTGAGCTGCCACAAGATCTTTCACTGTCATGCAGGGGTGTATAGCTGCGGTATGCAGTTGTAAAGACGTGTGAAATATTTGTCCTCTATAATTGCGATGTTCTTGAAAGTGAATTTGTCCTCTATAATTGTGATGTTCTTGAAAGTGAACAAAAAGTTCTCATTGTGGAGCATGGTGTGCTCTGGCAATATAGCAAAAGAAACATGGGCAGTTTTGCATTTTTCGGGAATGACAGTCCGGTGGAGTCAATGAGCATTTATGTTTAAACAGAATGCATATGCATACAGGCAAGATGACAGTTTATTGCGGTAGATTATACATTAAATGTTCTACAATGGTCTTCCCAACAACACTGAATTGCAGTCTGAGAGCCATCCATAACAACTCAGACAGGCAAGGATATCAGACCTTCACTTTGATGTTGTAACCATCAATTTTTGTATATAATACATATTGAAGACTATATCTAATTTGTACTATCGAGATAATATTATCATACATCTTCATTTTACTAATGTGTAAGCATTTTTTGAATAGATGTCTGACATAGTTTTATACTCCATTACATTTTTTTCATCTTTAAGTTTCTTGTAACAAAAACTCAAAACCTGCAGAGCCATCTGTGCATAAAGACATGAATCTTAAGAGGTAAAAAAAAGACAACTAACAAAGGGTACTGTTCAGCGTTTTAGTAGTTTAGCTTGTAGTGGCTTAAAAAGCCAGGGTTTGAATTGGAGATCTAGCACTCGTCCGATGAGTGTTTGGTGCTAGATTCGCTATGAAATTCACTATGCCACTCAGGAAGGCAACAAAAGGTTGTAAACATTTGAAGCACATGCATGTTTACTAAGGGGGTGGAAAGGAGTGGAGTGAAATGATGAGCAAAGTAGAAATAGAAGTGGGAAGTTCTTTGTTTCCTCTTTCAGTAAGTTGGTACTATCTGTAGAGGAACCCACAAACATATAAAGCAATCTTCAAACTTTCGAAAATTCCAGTGCCAACACACATTCACCCAAAGTGCCGTTTCCTGTGGCATGTTTCATGCATTCAGAGCCCTTGAACAAAACAGGATCTGCATTGCATAATATAATAATGGGCATGCTCGTTGCTTTAACTGCTTAGCATACTATTCCATGACACCCAAAAGATTAAGTGTGATTAGAATTTGTCTTGAAAATTACACAAAACAAAGAGCTCATGTGTACCACAGGTAGTGAGCTTCAGTATGCCCTACTTCAAATTTGTGTGGAACTCTTGACAAAGAATGCTTACACATTCTTGGGCAATTCATATGGTGAATTGGTGCTCGTTCTGCCCATATTTTTTTTATACGAAAGGACTTGTAGCAAGATATATAAAAAACAAATGCAAGTTAAATGAAGGCTTTATAGCTGGGCTTTGTGCAAGATATGCTTGCTCAAGATAACTATTCAACCTTAACATTGCCAAGTTGGGAAAATTATCATGAAGCACATGAAATAGATGTATCATTAGAACAATGCACATCTACTCACAATATCCCAGAAGTAGTTAGCCAGCCAATACACCACAGGATTGACACCGCTGACTATCTGCAGGTGCTTGGCTTTGGTATAGCGCTCATAGACCAGGAATAGTACAAAACTTGCTGGCACAAATGACATTGCAACAATGATGAAGATGGCAATCAGCACATCCGTTCCTTGTAAGCTGAAAGTAACAACGTACAGTCTACTTACTGAATCAGCACATGCAACCAACCAAGTTATGGAGTGTAGCACATTAAAACACAGCTTGTCATGGTCAAGTAATCAGCAGATGACAAGAGTGATGAGATATAAAAGCTAATTGACTCAATGTTTGAAAAACAACAGCATGTTGGAGGAAGAGGAGGAGAAGGTAGAGGAAGGAAAGGCAGGAAGGTTAACCAGGCGAGCGTCGGGATGAAAAGAGAGGTATAGAAAGAAGAGAACATTAACAAAAAAAAAAACAGAAAACATGTGAGCTTAAACTAGACTGCTGCATTCGATAGAAGTGGACGTCATCCTTGAATTTCGGGAGAGCCCTGGTTTGGTTTGGTGGACATATCATTCAGTGTAATACAAGTTTACGTAATGTATGTCGGCTAAGCTAGCATGGTAAAAGAGGTAATTTGACACACAAATGACATGTAAACATACACATGACAAATCAATATCAGTATAGCAAACTTCAATTTAACAAATGTTCTCCTTTAATGAAGTGTTTATTTTTTACAACTTCTTGCTTATTGGATGCTATGTATTTATAACCTCATCATATTGAAGCACATTTATCCCCAGTTTCAATAAAATGAAGTTTTCTTGCTGCCACAGAAAACTGAGATAGTATATGGTGGTTTGCCAGTGCACAATTTAAATGGCATACCGGGTGACAGAGGACGGCCTATGCATTGAAGCAGAGTCTTCTGTGGCATCGTCCAAGTTAGCTACGCACTGCCAGCTTCCTAGGGCATATGTTGGCAAGTGCAATGTCAGTCACTAGGAGCAACATGTGGCAGCTGTGTGCAAACTTGCTGCATTTCAGGTTATCATCTCACTTTAGTTTGATTTAAAAGTCAAGCTGTCTAGCTCTTACTGCATCTTATGAGCTTTAATGGTGCGATTCCTGAATTTTGAAAGAGCGCTGGTTTGGTTTCGTGGACATATCATTCAGTGTCGTACAACTTTACGAAACAACCAGGTTATCTTTGCAAGTCACCACAACGAAATGTGTGTGGCAGCTTTCTTCTACTACAGGCTACATAAAGGGATTATGAACCAGCTTTACAGTAATCATCGAATGACCTCAGTATCAAAGTTCGGGAGACTTTTACAGCTTCATGATTTGATTGCTGTAAAAATTCTTCGTATTCATAAAAAATGAGTGGAGTTACAGGGGTTTGTCCCAAACTTCAGGCCCTTTCTCTTTTTTCACCACAAGTGCACTGAGAAGTACACAGGGACGGATAGCACAAAGACAATAAGTTATGCGAGCGTACATCATGCTCCTGAGCACGCGTGATGAAATTCAGTCACTTTCTTTCTCAGGGATTCCTGCATGCCAGTGTGACTCAGTGTGTAATGTTAGCCAACTATGGAGTGCAGTGCCAATGCAAGGCAGCGACCTGGGGCAAGAAGTGCATTTAATTGAAATGTCCTTTTTTATTCATGCCGGCTATTGGCTAACAGCATGCTATCTGCTGTTCCACATCAAACAGCCAGTGCTGGCAGCTCCAAAGAGGGTAGGCACAAGCCTCTGTATAAAAAGAGGGCCCCTGAAAAATGGAAACCGAACACTCTACTTGTAAACTCTCTTTGTTGTGCAACAACTGTAAGATTTGGCTGAGATGTTCACAGCAGTGTATGCTATTCACTGAAGCTCGAAAAGTGGCTCGTGGTCACTTTAAGCAGTATTATTTTAAGGTTAATCTATGTATACAGGCTGCCGTGAAAAAGATTTTATTATCAATCCATTCTCGCGGTTGCTGGCTCAAAGGTCCAAGAAAGCTTTTTCCTTTTTTAATTGAGAACTCTTTTTAAACAGCCATATTTGGACATTTTTTAAGGCTCTTACTATGTAAAGAAGCTATCAGTTGGTAATATACTTTGTTAAAACATCATACTTTATAATAGTCAAGTTTTGACAATATTGAACTATAACACGTGCTGTACTATATATACTGCACTAACCATTTTTTGCTATTTTTACAAGTAGACAAGGAAACAACAAACCCCATTCTTTTGAGGCCGGGTCAGCTTCTAAATGTTGGAAGCTATTCTTTGAATGAACCTTGACAGGAGATGCATCTTTTGCCATCTTACATTCAGTAAATCATCCCCTCCCTGTTTATGGCACGATATCAGCTTCAGTAAGCTAGTTACTGTTCCACTCCATGAATACAATGCTGGACACTTTTTATGGCACCACTTACAACAATAATCGATTCTCACATTGAGATTTGTTTACAATAAGTCTAAGATGTGCCAAGTCAATCCATAGAAATCGTATTACACAATTATATAAGCATATTTTCATACCTAAACTCTAAACAAGTTTGAAAATTTTAACTAAACAAGTTTAGCAAGTAGAGCATGTAGGTACAATGACATCACTGACATAGCAATGGATATCAGTGCTCTAAGGACCTTCAATCTTTTTGCTGTGCAAGTTTTTCATATGCTTTACCAAACTTAAGACATCAACATACAAACAACCTCAGACCCAGGCTTTATTTTAAAACTAAAGACTGACTTACTGGTGTGATGCACAACTGCCTTTCATAATATTGATTTCCTCCTTGTGCTAGTAGGTAGGCTTGAGGTCATCCGTTGGGTAATGACCATATAAGTAAACGACAATAAACCAAAGCAAAGCATTGGAGAAATGAACTGTTTCCTTGAAATTAACTATCACAATAAGGGAAAATTAAGTCAATAATTTATATATATATATATATATATATATATATATATATATATATATATATATATATATATATATATATATATATATATTCTTGAGAAAACAAAATAAAGGTGAAAAAAAAAGCTAGCTTCAGGAGAAGCTTAACCCAAAGTAAGTGCATGAAACATTGAAAGGTTGTTATTACTATATATATATTGGTTTAGAGCACAGTTTAAAATAAAGTTAATTTAGGTTGCGCAGCAAAAATCTGTTCCTGCACTTTTTAACACCCTAAATTTTTCTGCATTTTAAAAACTACCCCTTTTTTAGAATCTGAGCATGCATGCCAAACATACCAGCCACATTCCAAAAAGGAAATTCTTATATACAATTTGGCCCATTCAAAATGTCAAAAAAGCAAAAAAGACATCATCTGAAAGGCTTTGGGGCAGCTCTCAGCAAATCGTGCTGGCACAAGGTTGCTTTGAGGATCGGTGGCCAAAAGGACACTCAAAGAGGCTGGCTACCCGAAGGAAATGATTTTGGAAGGTGTTGAAAGGTTCATCAAGGAGATAAGTGCTAGAAAAAATTACAATGGTGCTTTAGGCTGGTCTCAGGTACAATGGTCAGTGGTCCGTGATTATATCCTACATGTATGTGATATCATGCCATCTAAAAATGGTGACTGCAAAGTGCATTGCAACCACAATCCTGTCCACATCGGACTTGCATGCATGCGCACAACAGTGAACTATACGCACAAAAAAAGCACTTGCATTAAAAAGCACACAATGCACTTTGTAACACACAGGGGTGCTGTGGTCTGAATGATCGCACTTTCACGAGGTCAAAGCTAAATGCACTAAACAGATAGGAGCATCAATGATATGTTGAGACAGCACTGATTCAAGGCAAAGGCAACTGACTGAGTGTCTAGGCAGCTGGCAGTTGCTGTCATAGGTGCAAGTACAGCCTGCTATTTAACACTGCTCTTGTTCATGACCCTTGTAAAAACAAAAAGTAGGATATTGTTGTATGAAGGTTAGTGTATAAGGGGTGAGGCAGATAACTGCATTAGTGCTCCTTCAGACCGTCCATTGGATACAGAGACAAGGAGTGAGATGGCCTACTTGCGTCAGGTCTTGTGGTGATAAGCATGCCCAATGAATTCATTTTTCTGATTACGTTCCTTGCACTGTGCTCTAGATTAAATCATCACTTTTTAGTCCACCATCTTCTCTGTCTACCTGCCTCCTTCCATTAAGTTTAATGCTCATAATATTACTTATAATATTCCTAATGCTACAAGCAATGGGACATGAATGCAAGAAAATGAGAGATTCACACAAGTACAAAATTCAGGCATGGCAATCGAACATTGGAAACAGCAATAACCAATATGCAGACATTTGCAACTCTTTTTGTTTCAGCAGCTTGCAAATAGATGCATCTATTGTTTTTCAAGTAAGCCAGAATAATCTTGCCAAAACAACAGCAACAGTAATGTCGCACTATTGTTAAATATCACTTCAGACTCTGCAATGATATGTTTGAAACAGTGTGCCCTTATAGGGTGATAGAGTAGAAAAACGCAAGCTTTATTTCTAATATTACATATATTTCATTTTTATTTGCTTCCACAAGTCCCATTTCTCTACTTTCATGATAAAAACTGATTATTGTAACTAAACACGAAGTAGATTAAAATTGCTTTTAAATAGCACAAGGTGGCTACTAAAAACTAAAAAGAGCACATTGTCTAGAGCAGTGGTTCTGAAATGGAGGTTCATGGACCCTAGGGGGGTCGGTGAAGCCATTTCTATGATCCGCCAAACCCTTACTTGCTTTTTTTTACATTTTTTAGATTTTTTTTTACAAAATGAAGTGATGTAGCACATTTTTAAAAATATTTTTGGTAGCAATAAAAGGCACCTATTTCACGCTCTAGTTGTGTCAATTTAGCTACATACCCCCCCTCTACCTCCCCTTCGTTGTAAGGGGTCCTCCATCACTTTCACCAGTCCACAAGATGTCCCCGACACATCCATGACTAAGAACCACTGGTCTAGAGTCCCCTGGAAATTGTCACCTGGCTGCTCGCCATTGCATTTTGCATGAGCAGTTCACTAAAGCCACATCCTCAAAATAACAATGACTGCCAACTCTCATGATGAAATACATCATTTTAAAACAACATATCTTTGCCGCATAGATGAGGTTCGACTTATACCTTGAAAATGCATTTTACCCAAGGTCCATTTTTGCACAACTTCTTGAGTTTAAACAACAGGCTATTGGTACTTCTGATAGTCAGACTAGAATGAAATTTTTGCCAAGGTGGTCCTTAGCATGTGAAAGGTGCAAGTATCTCTTTTAAAACTTGATATTGCCTGTATAATTATTATGAACCTAAAGCGAGCAATCAGTGTGAGCTGAAGATTCCAAGAATTCTCACATTACCATTCTTGTTGTCCATTAAAATGTCCTATATACAGTTTCTTAATAGTTATTTGCATTCTACAAATAATGTGGAGCAATATGAGCCATTTATGGCTCAGAACCATAAAAGTTTAGGGGCATGAAAAGTTTGTCCAGAACGAACTATATCTTACACATTGTTATGACACAAAATGATAACTGTACAGCTTATTATAAAACTAATTGCATTTTGAAATCAGCATAGAAGCCTATATATAAAGTAAAATATTTTATTACCCTTGGCTACAGATTATCAAAACTTTTTTTTTCTTTCAAATCACATCTTCCTTTAAGAGAGAGCAGAGTTATGACTAGGATTACATTTTTTTTTTAATGCTTTTCAGTGACGGTATAAAAGTCAGTAACAAAATGGAAGCAAGCGAAGAGACTTACATTTGATCCTTTGACAGCAGGAAAGATGTGTCCGTCATAGGATGGTTAACCACAGTAATTCCTACACAGAAAGTACAAGAATTCAGTAAATTGCTTGTTTCATTAATCAGAAAATATACTCTTATAGGACCTCTGACAGCAAAAAATTTGTTTTCGACTTTTACACCTTAAAGGGGCAATGATGTGACATAATAAATTTGTCAATATAAGGTATCGTGATTAACACTTTGTATCCAAGCATTCCCATATGTGGACACAACATATCGTTGTAGTGAAACCAGGCTAGCCACTACATGGCCTTGAAAATTAATTTGAAATGTTGATATTGGTTCACAATTTCATAAAAACATATATATGTGTCCACTTCAATGACAAAATGGCAGTACGTGCACACAAAAAAACTGTGCTTTTCTAATGTCAATTCCCGAGAGAGTATGCCTACATTTTTGTACAAGTTCATTAAAAAAAATAAGACTTTTTAAATAATTTGGCTTTTTTCGAGAAAATGAAGTATCTATATTGTTTCTGTGTCAGTTTTGTTGCACTGCGAACCATAAAAGTTTTGCAAGCTGAGTTGTTGCTGTAGCGTTGTGTTCATGTTTGTGGATGCTAGACATACCGAGTACGTGTAAGAAGCTGTCAGAACACCAAACGATACTAGGACCCGTTTCACTGCCAAGCAGCTCTACACAAAACATTACCTTTATTATAGGGAAATAAAACTTCTGGAAGTTATGTTTATAATTTATTTGCTTTGTTTCGGACCTCACTATGATTAAGTGATGAAGATATACACGCCATAATTTTCTAGTGGACTAGCGGAAGCGAATGTTCTGATTTTAAAAGCAGCGTTAATTAGTGCATTGAAGCAGAGCCATGAACAAACAAAGACCTCTTGAATAATGCTACTGCTGATGATGAAAGCATTTAGTTTGAAAGTAACTATGAACACTTTGGTAATGATGGTAAATGACAATAAAAATGTGAGGACCATGTTGAGGTAGACTTGTGGATAAGCAAAGAAGCCTTGAAGGGTGATAATGTTGGCAATGATGAAAGCATTGAACATGAGGAATAAGGTGTTGATGATAGCGATAATTAATGATGATGATGAACATACTGAGTCAGAGTCATAAGCAAGCGGCCACATTGTTTATGATGATGATGATGATATTATAAATGAACACGTTGAACTTATGAAGGTGGCAAATATGGCAAGTAGTGATGATTTTAATAGTCAATGCGTTGAAAAAGAGTGGACGGCAGGTCAAATTTTTATCCATAATGAAGAAAGATGATGGGCCTAGTGTAACTGGTGTTCCCAGCGTCCACATATGTAGATACTTGTTTTCTTTTAAAGAGACGCGACGGAGACGCTCGGAGCAGTAGGACGCACTGTACATCGTCTCCCGAGCCTTTCGGCATTTTCGCTGCGACGCGTGCTTACTGACCAATAATTTATGTATGAGTGGGTGCATGAGGTTATTGGGAACGCGCGGATATCACTCTCTGCACTGGATTTATCAAGATTCTCCCAGGAGCATCTGCTGACCCGACCAACGCCGCTCGCCGCCCTGAGCCTAGCTGGCTCAGCGCGCGTCCGGCTCCTTGCCTAAGCCTGGTGCAGCGTCTCACGCTACTCACATCGTCGTGCCCAGCCGCCCACCGGAATGGAGTGCGTCGTAGAAGGTCATACCATCTCTGAAGAGGAGTGGTCCGACGATTCCTGGCAATCGCCCGGCTATCGTGCCCAGGAACGACGCCGACGGGAACTTCAAAACCAAGGCAAGCCCGTTCTTCAACCGTGTACGTCGGAGAATGCCCGCGCCGCTGTGCCGGAACGCCAACCCCAGGTCAAGTCACGTCCGCCTCGGTTACGTCGGCGGGCACCACTCCCCCGATTGCCGCAAGACTCCATTCATATAGTAGGACGTCCAAGAACGCCCATCGACTTGACGAAAGTGCCGCCGTGGCAATTGCACGACGCCCTGCTCAAGGCAGCTTCACTGCCAGATCAGCCACCAGCAAGTCGGGATCGCCTTCGGACGCACCCCACCAATAATACCTTTACCTTGAGCGTGATCGACTCGCAACGCGCCCAAGCCTACCTTCGAGTGAAGTCGATTACCATCGGCGCTGCTACTATCGAGCTCCATGTCTACGCCCCCCCTCCAGACGACGCCATACGAGGCATCATGTTCCATGCATACGATGACTTCTCAGACGAAGAGATTTTGGCAGACCTACAAGCCAGCAACCCCACCATTCCTATCGTGAGTGGAAGACGCTTGGGCCAAACTAGGCACGTCGTGGTTGCACTAATGACGCCAAACCTTCCAAAGTGGATATTCTACCACGGAACCGACATCAGGCTGTACCCGTTCTACAACAGGGTGGAATCGTGTTTTAACTGCCGCAAGGTTGGTCACCGCACGGATGTTTGCCCGATGCCACGTAAGCAGCGGTGCCGCCGTTGCGGAGAGGAACACCCCACACCAGGACAGGGCGAAACACCCGCATGCACGCCACGCTGCATCGTCTGCAATGGTGCACACAACACCGGCAGCTCAAACTGCAAGTATCGCTTTATCAAGAAGGCGCCACCCACCCCGCAATCGAAGCAAGAAGCGCAAGAACCTTCGTCGAACATCCATCGCAACCCATCTCACAGTGGCTCCTCCAGCAGACGCTCACCATCATCTCGAGACCATTCTGCATCTTTCCCACCACTCGGGAACAGCAGCAACCAGCAGCAGCGCCGAGAGAGCAGGTCCCCATCCCACACCCGGCGCTCAGGGTCTCGTTCAGCTAAACGACGTGGCAGCAGGTGTCGATCCCACAGCAGGCGCCCGAGGTCACGCTCAGCCCAACGACGAGACAGCAGGCCCTCATCTCACTCAAGGTCCAAATCAGCCAGGCGCAGCCCATCGGTGTCTCGTTCATCCAGTCGAGGTCCCGGAGAAGCGTCCAAGTCGGTGGCCTGGCAGCGGGGCGCCCCGGCATCACTACTATTTTCCGATTCACAGGTGAGGGAGTTGGCAAAGGAGAATTCTGCCCTTAAGGCTCAAATCTCGGCCCAGCAGTCCCAGATAGCTAAATTGACTAGCTACATCCAGTCTCTAGAAGCCAAAATAGATAGAGCACTCAGTATCGACAAACAAACTACACCCACATCATCCGAAACACAAGACGCACATCCGAACCCCCTGGCACCAAACCCGGCGTTATCGCCAGTTCCTCAACTTCAGAACGCTAATAAACGCAAGGCAGCTACACCCACAGCTTCACTCCACGCAGACGCCGACATCACTACAAAAGTAACGACGGCAGTCACGGCAGCCATCTCAACGCTGAAATCCGATCTGAACGCTGAAATAGAAACGCGCTTTAATGCGATCCACCAAACCATCCGGGAAACAACCACCTCATTCGCCGTGTTAAAGAGCTCGACCGAAGCTGCACTGGCCGACTTCAGTGTGCAGTTGGCCATCCACCGCACACCATCCAATAGCCGGCAAACACCGGCCCCTACGCCAATAACATAGTCATGGCGGCTCTCCACACGCTCACCGTCTGGCAGTGGAACTGCAGGAGCTTCCGCAATAAGAAGGGCCATCTGCAGCAACATATCCAGCATATTCAAAACCATGCACCAAATGGGGAATGTTCGCCGGACATCATAGTTTTACAAGAAACGAACACTGCCGCTCAACTGCCCGGATACGCATCATATAATCAGAAAATAGACATATCCGCGAGCGCACAATGCCACACTGCCATCTTAGTACACAAGAATGTCACAGCCATTCAACATGAAATTGAGGGTACGAGTATTCATCACACACTGGTGGAAATTATACCAAAAAGACGAGGAGACAAGCCACTCTTCATTTTAAATATATACAGCCCTCCAAGAGATACAGCTGCGGATCTACCTTACATCTTTCGGAAAGCAACAAATCTGGCGAAGGATGCAAAGCTGCTCGTACTAGGCGATTTTAACGCAAAACATCCCGAATGGGGATACCCGAAATCCAACCCCAAGGGTCGCCGATTATGGAGCATCATACACGACCTAGGTTTCAGTATCCTCAATGATCCGGAGCAATCGACGCGAATCGGGAACAGCGTATGTCGAGATACTACCCCAGACCTCTCCCTTTGCAAAAACACGGAGGGTGCCCGTTGGCAAAACACAGGTCACACCGTAGGAAGTGACCATTTCATTCTAGCGGTAACCATTGAGTTAACCACAAGCAATGTAAAAAAACGAGCCACAGCTCGCATTACAGACTGGGATAAATTCCGCCAACTGCGCAAAGAAACGGCACCCGATTCGGTATTGGACTTGAACGAATGGATACTTTCTTTGAGTCGAGATGTGGACGCTACAACATACCAAGCAGACGTAACTCCGGAACAGCCATCAACAGATTCACGCCTTCTACATATGTGGGAGGCGCATGAAAGCCTCATGCGTAGGTGGCGGCGCCAACGTCACAACACAAGGCTCCGCCGCCGCATCTCGAGGCTCGAACGTGAATTAGAAGCCCACACCGCTGTGCTAACACGCCAACAGTGGGGCCAACTTTGCGGCAGCCTCAATGGCCAGATGGGCTGCAAGAAAACGTGGCATCTTCTGCGACACCTGCTGGACCCTGGTAGCTCCAAGTCGGCCGCACGCAAACAGCTCGCGCGAATTGTCCATCAATACCCGGGCACCAACGAAGAGCTGCTGGAGGAGCTCATCACCCGCTACATCAACACATCTCAGAAACAGAACAGCACAGAGCAGTTGCCTGAATACACTGGAACAGCCAACGAACAGTTGGACGCCGACATTTCGGAAAGTGAGGTTTGCATAGCGCTACATAAACTGCGTACAACATCGGCACCCGGTCCTGACGGGGTGACAAATAAGACGCTGCGCAACCTCGATCCAAAGTCGGTAGGGGCCATTACTGAATATATGAATGAGTGCTGGAGGTCCGGCCATTTGCCATCAGAATGGAAACACGCAAGGGTCGCGTTTATACCGAAACCGGGCAAGAAACTCGACCTGGAGAATCTTCGTCCAATCTCGTTGACCTCCTGCCTGGGCAAACTAATGGAGCATGTTGTCCTCTGTCGCTTGCAAAATTTCGCGGAAGAGCACCGCCTACTTCCCCCCACAATGCTGGGCTTCAGGGCCCATCTATCCACTCAGGATGCGCTCATCCAGTTGCATCACGATCTCCTACGACCTGAGAGTGGCACTAGTACCAAGGCTTTGCTCGGTCTGGACCTTCACAAAGCATTTGACAACGTGAAGCATAGTGCCATTTTAGGCAGTCTGTCCGAACTACGATCCGGGGAACGCATATTTAACTACGTCCGTGCTTTCTTATCTAATCGAACGGTTGAACTCTCAGTGGGTGACCTTCGTTCTAAGCTCATCACACTCGGTGATCGCGGCACCCCGCAGGGAGCTGTTTTGTCCCCTTTCCTTTTCAACCTCGCTATGAGGTCACTACCTCCCAAACTTGACACGATACCCGGCCTGCGATACACCCTCTACGCAGATGACATCACGCTCTGGACGACGGTGGGATCCGATGGTCAAATCGAGGAGACTCTTCAAAGAGCAACCGACGTAGTCGTTCAGCACGTGTCAGAAGCGGGTTTGGAGTGTTCCCAGAGCAAATCGGAGCTACTATTACTGCGACCTCCAGATCGCCGCAAAATTAAGACTCCACTTCCTAGTATTAACGTGTATGTCAATGACACGCCAATTAAGCAGGTGGCCCACATGAGAGTACTCGGACTCATTGTGCAAACAAACCACCACAACAACATTACGCTAGACCGTCTCACCGTAACCGTGAACCAGACGGCCCATCTTATATCTCGAGTGAGCGCTCGCAATCGAGGCATGAAGGAGAAAGAACTGCTACAGATAATTCAAGCCTTCGTTTTGTCGCGCTTCACGTACGCCCTCCCTTATTTGCACCTCCTTCAATCTGAGCGAGCCCAACTAAATCGGCTCTTACGCAAAGCGTATAAGGTGGCATTGGGTCTCCCCCGAAACACATCGACAGAGCACCTCCTCAGTCTTGGGCTGCATAACACCTTAGAAGAACTTCTTGAAGCGCATCTTACGGCGCAAATTCACCGATTACAGGGAAGCAGGACGGGGCGTTGGATCCTTGCTAACATTGACCATGTGGTATCTCCTACGGGTAACGATCCGGCTGTCATCCCCCCCAACATCAGAAAGAAATTCCTCATAAAACCACTGCCAAAGAACATGTTGGCCAGCCATCACGACGGTAGAAGGAAAGCGAGGGCCAAATTCTTGCAAAAAACGTACGCGTCCAACCCAACCGTTGCGTACGTTGACGCCGCCCAATACCGAGAGTTTACTAAAGCATATGCAATAAGCGTAATCACTCTCCCCGGCAACAACGCCAATTCACCTCAAATTAAAGCGGCTGCTTCTGTCCGTGTGCTTAATACGACAGAAGCTGAGGAAGCGGCGATAGCGCTAGCAGCAGCATCCGGATTCACCACTATACTCAGTGACTCAAAGGCTGCTATATCCAACTTCGCACGTGGCATTGTGGCCCCCACAACTCTGCGTTTACTATTGCCCAGTCTCCTTACAGATGCTGAGGAAGACGCACTATCCTCCATTGCGCTGGTATGGGTGCCGGCTCACGCGGGGAACCCAGGGAACGAGGCGGCCCACCTATATGCTCGAGGATTCGTCAGCCGAGCGGTGGTACCCGCCTCTGATTTGGAAAACCCTGGTGAAGCCTTGACATCCTACCATGACATCACACAATATTACCGTCTTTCGAGGCAGACAAAACCACCCCCGCACCATAAGCTAACTAAGCGCCAGGAGGTTATCTGGCGCCGCTTGCAAACACATTCATTTCCGTGCCCATACATTTATGCACGTATATACCCCGACTCGATTGATCCGCATTGCTCGCATTGTGGCTCAATAGCCACACTTAATCACATTCTCTGGGCCTGCAGGGAAGATCCCCCCTCTCTCGATCTCCTAGCCGCTCCCTCGCCAGAGGGGTGGGAGGCAGTTCTGACCTCCACCAGCCTGGCCGTTCAGCTCCAGGCCGTACAAAGGGCAGAGGAGGTGGCCATCAGGTTCAGCCTGGCGGGTCACCTACCTCCTTAAGTCTGACGACAATAAAGTTGTGTTCTCTCTCTTCTTTTAAAACTAAAGCTAAAATTTTCAGGTTTCTGGTTTATTCCCACTTTAGTATGTATTGTTATTAAATATATGCAAAAAAATAATTACTTACACAAGTGGATTGGCTGTGGGAAACATAGCATTAAAAAGCAGCATGAGCATTGGAATATATGTAAGTTCTTCTGCATTAGAGCTAACACTACGATATGTAGAGCTCATTACGATAAAGATAAATGAGCACAGATCAAAACAAAAAATAACAACAACGAAGTTGTAATGTCAGTGATGAAAGCGACCTTTTGCTTTTTGGAGCACAGTCTGGAGCAGAAAAAATGCTGCTTTGGAGCAGCCTTAACTGTCTTCGGAGCAGAAAAGAATGCTATAGCTAAGGGTTGCTATTGGTGTATTCAGAGCAGATGCATGTTCCTAAAGACATCTAAAGTCTAAAACATCACTTAAGCATCTAATGAATATATATATTTATTATTACACATGCCGTATGCTAGTATGCCGCTAGTATACAAGCCATATAGTAGCATCATTGGTGTAAATCATGGAGGGGGGGGGGGGGGGGGGCGTCAAGGGAGTCCGTACTTTTCTTGTGTTCAGGCTGGAGAGGACAGCCCTAGCAAGTGTGTCCCCCTTGAGATTTAGCTTTAGCACGTGATATAATTGAGTAAACAGTTAAGTATAGCACAATGAAGTTTTTAAAAGGCTTTTTATATGTTACTGCATAGCTGTGTTAAATAGCTCTGAGCTGTGTGAACCTTTTTGTGAAAATCACAAAAAGGTGAATAAAAAGAGACTGAATAGAACAATGAAATTGCTCGAGCTCGGACCCGACGCTCATGTTTTTTTAAATTCTATTTGAAAGCATGATTTAATTCTTATATAAATAAAAATACAACCCATATTAAAAATACCAATTGGTCAGCGTGGCCTAATATGTGTCAACCCTTGTGATTTTTTCTAGATTTACACCACTGCGTAGCATACTAGAATGATAGCATACAGCTTGCTTTTGGTTTCGCTTAGGCTCATGGGATGGTTCCCATGCTTCAACTTCATTCTCTTTAGCTTGCCAACACCATTTTGAAGCAGGCTTGGAGCAGTTACTACCAAATATTGCACTTTGGAGCAGCTTTTTTTTTTTTTTTTTTTTTTCAAAGCAGTTTGGATGTTCAAGCCTTAAAGCCTCATAAGAGAAAAAGAGTGAAAAAAGCATGCCAGAGTTCTCCATCTGTGATAGAGAAAAAAATAAAAAAGGAAAATGAAAAAAAAAATAAAGGAATGAAGTAATAAAAAGGAAAACGAAAAAAAAAGAAATGAAACGATGTCTTGAGAAGGTTCCAAAATAAAACCTCTAGCACAGAAGCCCAATACTGCAACAATTATGCCAGGGAAAAATGCATTTGACAAGGTGCCTTGCAAATATTTTGTGGACAAGTGAGTGAGCTGAGATGTTTGAAGCCTTTTGATTTCACCACAGATGAAGAGGACCCTCTAGCTTTACACAACATCTGCTTATCACGCCGCAATCACTTGCACAATGCTGCACTGGCATAAGCAACAGAAAACATGCTATCAAACTTCAGACTTACGTCTATGCATGCTTTGTTTAGTTAGTCCACGTTACTTCACCAATAAAGAAACTTTATTTTTTTTTACTTCATGATCAATGAATGCAAAATATCTCACTATGAAACTATGTAAACTTACCATAAGTAGATGGGTGTCCATTTTCAGGTGGAAGGTTAGCCCTTAGGATGGCATTATTGATGCTATTGACATATGTGGGCATTGCATGGTATCCTTTATTGTTGTACCACACCTGATACAAAAGAGCCGTAAAAAAAAAAAAAATTAAACCTTCACGCTTTTTTCAAGCAATCTTCATGCTCTTGCTAGAATTTCATTTAACTCCATAGCGACAAACAAACATATATAAAGATGGGGAACAGGACTGCGTTAGCCCCACCCTGGTAAAAAGTGTTTTTCTGTCTTGTAAGACCACAGCACTTCTCTCCTGTTCTTTTTCCTTCAATCTTTAAATACACTTTGTAATATAAAGTGCCAATAATGATAATAATGTTTGGAGTTTAACATCCCAAATCCACGATATGATTATGAACGACATCTTAGGGGAGAGCTCTGGAAATTTCAACTGCCTGGGGTTCTCTAACATTCACCTAAATCTAAGTACATGGGCCTCAAACATTTTCGCCTCCATCGAAAATGCAGCCACCGCAGCCAGGATTCGATCCCACGACCTTCATATTAGCAGTCGAGTGCCCTAAACACTAGACCACCATGGCAGGGATACAAAGTGCCAAGAGCCATGAATGTTGTTTAGGGGTTTGGGAAGAGCACACCGGGAACGTCGAGAAAGAGAAGAGACTTGAAGACCATATACTTACAAATGAAAGATAAAGCACGAAAACTGAAAACTGCCCTGTAAACATCAGATTTGTTACTCCCATTGGTAGCAAATATTAGATTAAGTCATTTCAGATGGCTACTTTCCTTTCAGTGAATTCCCAAATTCATGCTATTTCCTAATCACTTATTATATATAATTAAAAACTTAATGTATGTGGTTCTGCATGAGTGAGATAAAGGCTCAAATGCAGAGAAAACATACAATTACACGAAGACACTCAAATTATGTTAAAGGTATAATATTAATAATAATAATAATAATAATAATAATACACTCGAACCTCAATATAACAAATACAGATATAACAAAATATTGGTTATAATGAAGTAAATGAAAAATAGTCTTACAGTAGACACAGTGTTAGGAATAACCTATATCAAAAATTTTTGGATATAAAAAATTTGATTTCTCATAAGATGCAAGTTTGTTATAACAAGCTTTGAGTGTAATAATGATAATAATATCAGGGGCCTTATGTCCCAAAACCCCGATAAATATTTTAGAGGTGGGGTAATATTTCAGTGAAAACTATATTTTTTTCAATAAAATTTATGTAAGGTTTTTTTTTTTACACATATCTTCAAATACCACCTTATCTTGAATAAAACTACCAAATATCTTTTTTTACAGTTGTCTTCAAATACCAGCTTAGCTTGAATAAAACTGACGAAATATGTCCATTAAAAAATGTGTACACTGCCATCCTTCATAAAAGGGAACATGTGAGTAATATAGCTTCATAAACCGATAGCAAAAGAAAGCACATCCTCTTTTGGCGTCATCTATTGCCAAACAAAAATAACGAATTATGGGTGGTAGACAATCACTGCTAAATTACGTTCCTTCTTCGCTCGTGCAACCGGTGATGCCTGCTGCACGTCATCCGCTGCCACTAAATTGAACGTGGTGCGCAATCATGGTGTGAGCTGCAGGTATCGCCCAACATCGCTCATTGCATGAGCGCTGAGGGAACGTAATGTATCAGCGTCTGTCTACCAGCTATGACTCGTTATCTTGTTTGGCAATAGATGACACCAAAAGTGAATGTGTTTTTCTTAGCTCTCTGTTGATGGTGCTGTAGGCAGCTGCTGCAAAGCGCAGGCTACGTGCTAGCATGTTCCCTTTCACATAAGACGACAGTGTACATGCTGCAATAAGGTGAAGCTGCACAAAACATCGTGGATAATGGAGTGCACAGTTTCCTTTTAAACTGATAAATATAGTGGTTATGTGGAAAGGCCTAGATGAGCAGTTATATTCAAGTACATTTACAAGTAGATATGCACAAACTTGACCACAAAGCCTATGACAGCTTCAATTTGTTAGCACTGATTCCGCACAACACCTCTTCATCACATGAACTGGGCCATAGCACTACTCTGGTGGCAGAGGCACTGATCAGAGCAGTTACAGGCAAAGGTCCAAAGCAGCGTAGCAGGCCTCAAGCTTACCGACGTGCACCATGCCACTTGGTGCCAAGATAGAGCATGAAGTATAAGTGACTTCTAAGAGACTAAGTTGTCAATAGCAATCTGCCAGTAGCCAGAATGAGTCAAGAGAAAAGTATCAGCACTGTGGAAACAAGAATGTCATTATTGCAAGGTAAGGGGCACATATCCTTTTTTGTAACTTTGTTGCAGTGCCGATAAATGAAACAAAATTCACATTGGCAACCTTTATTTTTTTACCAACTCAACACGTGAAACCCTGCAGAACATGATGATTCAATATTGTTCTCAGCGAGCATCCTGTTAACTTCAGCATGAACACTCCATGCTCAGCTGGCGACACTTGATATGAATGTCAGTAATTGAGTATCGTGAGTACTTATGCGATATGTTACAGTAGCAGCTTGATCCAAAGGGCAGGTTAAAATATAAATAAAAATATTGTTGAAAAAAAGAAAACACAGTAAAGATTGCAAGCATGCTTAAAAGATGGGTATGGTGGCACACTCATTTTCTTCAAGCCGGCCGTAGCACAGGCTGCACTCTGAAGGTACAGTAGGGTCAGCATAACTGTCCTTTATTGTAACAGTTAATAGTTACGACTAGTAAATCATTTCCAAAGGCATTAATCTTCAGTTAATAGTTATGACTAGTAAATCATTTCCAAAGGCATTAATCTTTGCCAGAAGCATATCTCATGGCAGCGCTTATGTTTTCAAGCCAAAACTAACCACTGGCATGTAGACCCAATTTGATCTAATAAATAAAATGACATGAGGCACTGAGCTACCATGCATGAAAAGAACATTGCTGATAGCAGTCAAAAAGTATTCACAGTAAGGCCCTGATTATTGATAATGACACAAAATAACAGGTAGGTTAATGTAGATATGTAACTAATACAAGCTCAGCAGTTTATGAGGACAGAATGCACAAAAGAGAAGTCCAGGCCAAAAATGAGATTATGGGAGCAGTGGGCAAAGATGGTAAAATGAACAACAGCAAAGTAACCAGTAATACCGACGCATAGCCCACACGCTCTACTAGAGGTGCTCGCTGTCAGTGGCATGGACAGCTACAGTGGCGGTTACCCGAATATTTTTTAGTCATTCTTGACAGTCAATGTTTATCTCAGATACATTAGGTCAGTGTTAATGATAGTACAGGGAGAAACACACTCCACTTGTACTTAATTAAAGCTCATATTGGTGAGAAACATCAGTAGAGAATCTGGTGGCTTTGAATGCAATGCAAGTTCACCTCTAGGCATTATACCATATAGTTTTCCAGCTAAAAGCATCTGTGGAAGCTTGTAGACCATAAGTGACAGAGCTGAGGTAAGCGAGACTGTCAACACAGGAGTGAAGTCAATTGCTAGTACAAGTAGCTCAATGCAGATTGCTCAGGGGCAGAGTAATCGGTGCACGCTGTACAGGGATGGAAAGAACCATGTGGATGGAAGTAGTCAGTATGTGAAATGCACAGATTATGATGGACTTCTGGGTTTACTGCCATAAGGCAAAAAAGGGGCCATGAGAAAAGCCACAACAGAGGATTGATTTATTCTGACCCCATAGAGTTATTTAGGATCTACAATAGAAAACACATCTTACTAAGTTTTTTTGCTTAAATCCACTATCACAATGAAGTTATGGCTGCTAAGAGGAAAATCTGTAGAACATGTGATATAGAAGCAAATCTTCCGAACATGTTACACCGTCAAGCCTAATAAGCTTTTTATAAAATAAAATAAATGTATTCAAAATGTTCATGAATTATAAAACCTGGCTAGTAGGACATCATAAACATAATATAGTTCTATCTTGCATTTTCTCTGGTGATGCACTATTTTAATGTTAAAGCCTAAATAGAACCGACAAAATCGAACAAAAAAAAAACCCTGTATTACCAACAGGCTTTAACGTGGACCATAATTTTATCTAGTAGACAAACATAAAAAAACATGACTGTCGATGCTTGAGTTGCAAGAAGTTACTCAAGGAAAGAAAAAACAAACAGAAGGCACTCTTTACTTCTGTTTAATATTTCCTCCCCCAACTTTTTGTGCAACAAGTGTCAACAGCAATACATAAATTAGCCTAACATCATACTTTGATCAAGGTTGATAAAGGTATTACGTTGGGCTAATAAAAGTATAGTAAGTATGATGTTAAGCATTACCTTGGCAACGTCTCTGACAGCAATTTTTCTAAAGAGTGCTGGTGCGTCTTCTCCAAAAGTCGAAGGTACATAGTCACGTGACAGACCAAAGGAAAACGCTCCATATCTGAAACAGCAAAAAATAGCTTTCTTTCGAGTACAACAGACTTCCTTTTGTATGAGGATATTAAGAAAATGTGTTTTATTAAAACTTTAGCTCAAACAAAGTACATGTTGAATGAATGCAAATACCTAAATGACAGTAAGCCATTCATTTTTAATTAGTAGGCAGTTCAGCTAATGAGGAACACTGAGCAAACAGAAATAAAAATCGGACTAATAAAATTTAGAGGACATACTCATATCAAACTAAATATTGTTTATTATGATACTTCTCTTTTTCCTTTTCTAGTATGCGTAGTAAATTCTACAAGGATATCAAAAAGGGAGTTAAGCTTAAAACCTTTGAGACCCCAGCTGCACTCCTAAATGATTTTGACCCACACTTTAAAGTTCGATATATCCTGTGTAATGTAAACATGTGTTTCTATAAACTTGGGCTTTCATAGAAAAACACAAAATAAGAGCAGTTCAAAAGAGGTTTAAGGTGCTAGAAATGACGAACTTAGTTCCCAGTGAGTAAATTTCTCATTAAACATAATAATATATACATAAATATATTAGGTCATTTTCTTAAGTTCTACATATCAAACAAGCAACAACCTGAAAATTTCTGAATTCGCAACCTGCATAGGTACACTGCATGGGCAAATTCACCTTTGCCAACATGAAATAACTGCTGCAAGAATCAAGTTGTTCAATTTATAGCTAGAAGCTTAGCCTTTTAATTCAAAGTTTCTAGTTAAAAAAGCACAGGGCCGTTATTAAAAACACTGCATAAAGCAATCACTTAGCTGAATTAGTAAAAGCTCATTATTAGGGGTGAATCGCGTTACAATGCCAAAATACATGTTAAGTGACCACTGGTTCAATGAATGAATAAAAAAATTAAAATAAAAAAGGGTCCCTTTTGCATAGTGGCAAAGCAATGAATGTGACTGCAACCAACTGGAATGTAACACAAAGTAAGGCTAGCAGCTCACTCTTTTAGCATAAAACCTGGCATAACTGAACAAAACGCAGACATAAAGAAACACGGCCACTGCAGCAAGCGAAGCAGCCCTTTTGCTGTCCATGGCTTCAATGCAAACTCTGCGATAAGAACACAACACATCCTAAGTAACTATGGATATCCATCGGCTGTCCATTCTGAATACAAATGTCCGGCCATATGGAAATCCAACATGGATAGCCAATGAATGTACTGTGAAAATCCATGTCCCGTGTGAGTGTTCTCTGGAGGTCTAAACTAGACCTTAATGTCCAATCGGACATTAAATTTTGAACGTTGACTGGCAGTCTATATAAGGACATGTCAAGGATATGCCCCTTTGCTCATCAATTATAGTAAAATTAGAATGTAGTGAAAATATATAAAGATCTGCAGAATCCTGGGTAACAATGTTGTAAAATTTCATTTAAAAGGTTACTATAAAATTCATTCAAATTTTGGCTCGCAAATTTGATCCCAGGGTGCCAAATAATATTGCTTCCCGAGGCAAAACGATCTGGTTGATTCAATATGTATATCATATGTCATAGAAAAGAATGTATTTAGTGTTATTATAATCGCATGTGAACTGACGAAAATGTGGATCGAGCGCGTCATAGCAGTCATCATGTAGAGAAACTTTTGTGCGCCAGCCTCGACACTTCTCAACAAGCGGTGAACCGCAGTTGCTCAGATTCCTCGAACGTACACGTTATGCTAGCCATGCCCCTCTGGATGTTTTGGGAGAAAAGGCGTGCCATAGTGCCTATTGTCCTGAAACCTGCTTGACCAGTGGTGCGCAATGAGAGAAGGAGCGCACGAAAAAAGGTTGTTCGTGTCGCGGCGCACGTATGTATGCTGAGCCAGTCTCCGAGGCTTCGAGCAGCAGAAGGCAGACTTTTTTTTTCAAGTGCGCCCATGTAGACATCAACAGCAACATACGAAGTTACGAAGGATGACTCTACTACAAGAGACAGCGAAACATGGCACGAGCCCACCACTGTTTTTGGCAGAGATTACCACGACAAGCAGCAGCAAACCCTCTCACTCGCATGGCACAGATAAGGCCACGTGTTATATATACGTTTTTTACGTCTCATATCCGACATTTATCTATTCTTATCACGCGTTAACTATTGCCTATCATTTGTATAAGCCCTGCTAATACATGGCATGCTTCCAGTTCTTTATTTGCTCGCATATTCCTTGCTAGTAACCGATTTAAGAGAACGTAGTCAGTGTCTCTGCACTTTCTTTAGAAGCGTGTGCAACACCCAATAGTGTTTCTCCTGTCGTTGTCCGTATACACGTATTGCGGTTACTAGAATAACATTGCCATAAACACGCATGAGTTGGGTCTGTGGCTAACAATTGAATCGACCCACAAAGAAGCAATTGCCGCCGCCTAAGAAGTCATTGCACTTGAAGGCGGAAGGGCATTGAATACCGAAATCTTTTAAGTAAGGCTACGTACACACTTTCACAAATGCGGCTGTGGACTGTGAATTATGTGCTTCTCAGCCTTGATATATCATGTTGATAATAAAGGTTTGATTGTTCTTGAAAGTCCGCCTAGACTTCATCTTTTTTTTTTTTTTTTTTTTTGAGAATTCAGCAGAAAATCTCTCGCGGAAAAAAGACGGGCCTCCGAGGCTGTGTGAGTACATTGTTCACATGAAAGGTTTTTTTTTGTAATATGCACTAGCTATGCGTACACAAACACTACAAATATATATATATATATATATATATATATCCTTTGAAGGGCCTGTCAATGTCCATGTTGGCTGTCCTAGAGGGATGTCAAGTAAGTGAACATACAAATTTGCAAGCAACACAAGCACGGGCTACTATACTTGGCAGATTCTGCCAGAGCCACACAGCCCTTCATTTGGTGTCCTCCATGTGCCTTTTGCACAATGAAGATGTCCAGCAAGTTTCCTCCCTGCTTAAGCTACGCTTATCAGCAGCCCTCACATGTTTTCACTCGCACATAGAATGTACAACGCACAGTAAAATGCTATCGATTTGGACTTTTACCGAACCTCACAGCCACAGTGGTGGCAAAAATGCACCTGGAGTGTCCATATAATTGTTACAACAAAAAAACACAAAAAATACAATTGAATTTAGTGTATCAAATAATACCAGTGGTCGAGCAATTGTCTATGAAAATGCAGCATGAGTTGCCCAATGCAAATCCCCATAAAAATAAACTGTTTAATAAATAGATATACGCTTTTTCTCAAATAAGTGACCACCTACATACCTTCGAAGCCTGTACATATCAGTTGTGTACAAGTAGTACTCGTGCTCATTCTGGCTGCTTATGTCAAGAAGGATATCGCCAGTCAAAGCCCTGAACATTGGTGGATCTTGGAAGCCATAAGGCTCACAGACATAACCTGTTTTATCTGCTGAACAATGACAATATGGGTAGAAGCGTTCTTTCCCTTCTTTCACTGGCTTTGCTGGAAAGCAAAAAAAAAAAAAAAACAAGATGAGTTTCATTTAAACAAGGTGCATTAATTCGAGAACACAGTTTTTCTAGCATAATTCATGATGACCACCACCATCTGCACTTCACCGCAAGGAGGGTAGCTACAGCATAGGAACAAGAACACTTGAATGTTATTGTTAGAAAAAAATATTAATAGTGTTGTAAAACAAAAAAAGTTTGAGCCCACACAGTAGCCAATACCCAGAAAATATTTGTAAATGGTACCTAACGCAATATATCAAAGGCTAACAAAATGCATACAAATTATACACCACTGATAGAGCTGTAATTTGTGAATAAGCTTTATACAGATCTCACGCAAATAGTGCCATCAATTTTCATAGGCTGCAAATTTAAAAAATCCCATTTTTCCTTACCATCCAACTTTTTACAGAAATGAGGTATACAATGAACTCTCACTTCAGTAATCTTCAAAGAATGTAAGGAAATAGTACACTTAATGAAGTAATAAACCACCCCTAGAAAAAACGCATCCTGTCAATAGCAGAAGACACTGCCATGAACATCTCAGCCAAATCTCGCAGATGTGCAAAGCAAGGAAAGTTCACAAGTAGAGTGTAGAGTAGATCAAGAACGAATATCGGATCAGATGCAATTCTTGCCACGGAGGATAACCACACTTCGAAGCCTACTCTCTATAGACTGCTAACATTACCTAGTGAACCATAGTCACAGACAGGAATCAAAATGTAACTTTTTTGCTCTGAGACATCCGACCCTGTATAGCTTAAGCATGCTTGTCGTGACAAGAGATTAGAAGAAGTGCTGAAAACACGTGACAAACGACTGTAACTTTGCTCGTTCATGACGAACGTGAGAAATTTTTGTGACAATAAATTTATGAGGTAATAAACTCCAATATTAAGGTCATTTGATAATTACTTAGGAAAGTAGTTCATGACCACTATGGCTGAAATTATAGTACACTAAGCTTAATCATCACTAGAACATGGAAACAGCGTATAGAACAACCGACATTGTGTCAAAAGCATGAAATGTAATTTATGAAATAACGTACAACAGAATTTACAATGTGTCTCACAGTTACATCGTCACCAGTCTTACTTTGAAAAAAAAAAAAAGAAACTGAGTTTTGATGTTCACAGCATCTGTGTTATTGTGCTCCAAGCACAACTTGTTAATGAGACGTGAAGTATTGGAACTTTGGAACTTTCAAAGCCATCCTACAGTCTCGACCGGTGTAATGGGATTTGAATCTGTATATGCCAACACTGCAGCTTGCAAAACTTCGTTACGCTGATTTTGTAAATAAACCTGGCTGCACAAATCAAGTTCCTTAACATTTACAATTCAAAAATCAATTTAATTGAAAATTTATGCATAAAATGCACAGAGGGATTTAAACATTAAACAAATTTTTTAAACATTCATTAAATCTACATTTGTAAAACTTCAGGGTTCACTGCGTACCTATTTTTGGTGGTAATATTTAGCTATAATTAGTGTGCTTCAAGAGTTCTTCATTTTATGAATATTAGTGAGCTAATATGGCAAGTTGTGCGTTCTGGAGCACATTCTGGAGCAGACAAAAATGCTAGCTTAGAGCAACTAATGGTGTTTGCAGAGCAGATGACACAGTTGATTGATTGATATGTGGTGTTTAACGTCCCAAAACCACCATATGATTATGAGAGACGCCGTAGTGGAGGGCTCCGGAAATTTAGACCACCTGGGGTTCTTTAACGTGCACCCAAATCTGAGCACACGGGCCTCCTTCATTTCCGCCTCCATCGGAAATGCAGCCGCCGCAGCCGGGATTCGAACCCGCGACCTGCGGGTCAGCAGCCAAGTACCTTAGCCACTAGACCATCGCGGCGGGGCAGCAGATGACACAGTATTCCAATGACTCCTAGAGTTATTTTAAGCATGATTTAAACATCTAACAAATATCAATATTTATTATTTAACATACTATACATGCAATAATCAGTGGTAACTGCAAAAAGAATATAGTAAAGCAGATGGAGGGTAATTGAACACTAAGTAAGAGGAGCGATATATTTGTAAAAACCAGGTACTGAGGCAGACATGATATAAAACTGATAAAACTGGGGCCCAAATTTTAAATGAAACCAAGTATGTGCAGCAGCTTATAATTGGTAAAGAGCAAAGCAATCTGTTAATTTTGTCAAAATAGCCTGCATTAAAAACTAAAAAAAGAAGTTTAAAAAGCCCATTTTTAAAGCAAAAAATGAAGTCAGAGTTGATATAGTGGCAAATGTAATTAGTCACACATCACAGCTATTGCACCAGTAGTTAGTAATCAGCAAGATATTGAACTAATTATTCTCATACATATTTGATCAAATAATCTACTGGTCAGGTACAACTATACAATAAAATACGATGTATATAAAAATGCCATTACTTGTGGTAATGTCGATATGCTAGTATGGAGCAAGCATACGGAAGCTGCATACTAGCACACTAGGATGATAGTAGAGAGTTTGTTCTTTGTTTTGTTTGGCTCGCTGGATGGTCACTCACTTAAAGGTTTTTGTCTTCAGCTTCCAAGTGCTATTTTGGAGCAGGTTCATAATTAGTAACCAAAGTTACAGTGTGGAGCTTCATGTAGCAGTATTTCTCATTTGAAGCAGTTCGGAGCAAATAAAGTAGTGCTTTTATCACTGACTTGGAGAGCACCACACTGCTTTCAAAAATTCCACTTGTTCCAACTTAGCGGCACATTCAGATGCTGCTAATGTGAGCCCCCATTGCACAAAAATACAGTGTTGTTCATAAATGAAAATCAAAACAAGCTGAGGGATAGTCTAAGTGAATCACATGCACATGAATTCTGCATCGCGTGTTAGTGAGCCATCTACCTCACTACATGAAAAGGTAACAAAATTTTTGATTGGTTTGATTCACCAGCTCTCTTACTTATCCAGCATGCACTACATGATCTAATTTCATATGATTTCGAATGTAATAAACTTTCAGTTATCAGTTGTGGGAATTGAGGCTAACCCGCTGCCTATGCGCGGGCTTTGCCGCCTTTTATGCCGTTCTCGTGTCCCGACATGTCTCCCCTCCATTGCTGTCTGCCGCGCTGGGAGAGCGGAGTGATGTTTAACCCCCTCACCTGGTAGCGGATGTTCACTCTGGTACCGCGCGCGGAGTCTCCCGAGAAATTTCGCGCGCTGCGTTGGGAGCGGGCAGATAGATACTCTCCGGGACTGCAGACGGTGAGCCACGCAATTTTTTCCGTCCGTCGACTCCCGTCGCTCGCGGGCTCGTCAGACTTCGCTGACGGCGCCTCGCGCCCGAGGTGAACGCTCACCTTTTGCTGCCCCACTGCGTACGCACGGCCGAAGGGTGGTACGGTGTCCTAGTGCGTGGCCTAGCTACGCCGACCCGTCTCCCTTCAAAGCCAACGCGAGCGCCTTTGCCCTCGCTCGAGCAACCGAGCCTTGATCCCGGTGTCTCCGTGGATCACCTTTACCGCGGAGACGTGCTCGTGGCACCCTGTGTAGTACTTTTATGCCCGTGGCGTGGATAAGCCTATTTGCTTCCCCATCGCGCCTTTGCAACGGGCTGTACTGCGTTCGGTTGCCACAGACAATAAAGTGTTGCGACTTTGAGCAGTATCGTGTTCTCGCCACGGCGATGGTTGACGCGTGCCCTGCGGCTCGCTAAGACTGGACCCACGCTGGTGGCCTCACTCTTTCGGGATACGTGTACACCACACTGGCACCCAACGTGGGGCTATTGCCGTTCTTGCCGCGTCTGTCAAACGGTGAAATCAAGGGGTGGCAGACCACCCGGTCTGATGAAACAGATTGTCAGTGAGCGTCCGTGGCAAGTCGCCACCTGCGATCTAATGGGACCATTTCCCAGAAGTAAGCAGGGGTTCATTCATCTGATGGTAGTCGTTGATCACTTTTCGAAATGGGTGGAACTTTTCCCACTTCGGAAGGTGACAGCGCGAGCGGTGCTTGAAAAGCTGCAGGAAGTGTTTTTCCGGTTCGACTTCCCGGAAAGGCTCATCACGGACAATGCTTCGTATTTCACCGCTCGGGTGTTTGGTGTCACGTGCCGTTCCCTCGGATTTGATCACCGCACCACTTCACCCTACCATCCCCAGTCCAATTTGACGGAGCGCGTCAATTGTACGCTCAAACTGATGTTGGCGGCCTTTGCCGAAAGTCAAAGGGACAGGGCAGACCATTTGAGTGAGCTCGCGTTCGCTATTCGAACATCCGAGAGTCGCTCAACTGGTTTCTCGCCCGCCTTCTTAAATTTTGGAAGGGAGTTGGCCAGTCCGGTGACCAGCGTCACTCAATGCCAGCTCGAGGACGAGGAGGCACCGGCAGACTGCTCTGTTTACGCGTCGACACTTCGGGACAGGCTTTGTCGAGCTTTCTGTGAAGCAAGGCAAAGTTTGGCGTCAGCCAGGGCTCAGCAGAAGGCCCAATATGACCGCAAGCATCGCGACCTGGTTTTTGAGGTGGGCGATCTTGTCCTGAAGCGTAACCACGCTCTTAGCGATGCCAGTAAGGTGTTTTCAACCTCGTTTGCTCCTAAGTAGCTTGGTTTGTACCGAGTGGAGAAAGCTTGCACTCCACTCGCGTACTTGCTGAAAGATCCCCGTTCGGGAAAACTCAGCCGTGCCCTTATCGCAGACCTGAAACCCTTTGTATCATGGTCTGACGAGCTCGCGCCAGAGCTCTGCGGCACTTCGCGCAAGCAACGGGGCACACCGGGAGCGGCGGACCGCATTCGGACCCCGCACCGGTATAATCTGAGGAAGCGGTCACCTTTGTGATTTTGTGCCGGATGGTGGACTTCTCCACAACCGAAGGCCCTCAGTTTACTGTCTAGCCTCAGTATAGGTTAGCTTCTTTATGGTCTTTTCTCGTAAGGAAGTCGACCCCGCCCAGCCTGCTGCCAGTATTTCTTGTTTTTAAGTGTTCATGTGTATTCATGTTTCTTTTGTCTAATATTAGGAGTTATTTGTATTTTATGTTTTTATTTTTCTTTGGCCAGATATTGAATGTCATTTTGCTCTGTTTTTACTTTTTTTCCGCGTTTATTTAATTTACTGCGAAGGGAGCTGTGTGTGACCATGAGTGTCGGTGCTTATGCCGGGAGAGAGAGATGAAGGACGCTGTGCGGCTACGCTCGAGCAGCTGTCGGCGGTGTGTGTGCGTGCGTGCTTCTGTGCGTGTGTAACGCTTCAGTGCGTGCCCATAAAGAGTGCATCATCCGCCCCATCGACGGGGACACTAGAGGTGCTCGGGGCACTGACCTACAGATGCTGTGCTCTGCTCTCGGCCGTCGCCGAAGAAGCCCTGCTGCCTTCCCACCATGGCTCCTGCGCGAGGCCAACTGAAAGCAGCTATATGATGCCGGCCAACGCCAAGGTGCCTCGCAGCCAGTTCTGGTTCGGCTGCTCTGATCGCTGGAGAGGCCCGGCTTCCTGCTACGGCCCAGCTCCGTCATCGAGCCAGAAATGCGGGGCCTCTGAACCACAACCTGAGCGACGTTCATCGGATTTGCGGCTAATCAAGAGCAGCAACGAGCCATCAGAGAGCCCCCTTCCGTGCCTCTGGCCTCGCACTCAGGCATCGCAACCTGCGGACGTTCTCGCGCTCCTCCGCCCCTCCGCCCCTCCGCGCGGTGGACGCTATCCTGCTTCTGCACCACGAACACTACTGCTACTTTCCTGTGCTCCCTTTCGAAGTTATTTTTATAGTGTCGTGTTTATTTTGTTATTTATGTTTTCGTTTTTCCTTTGTCATCATTTTTTTAGCAGCAGTAACAGGGCTGGACTGAGGTTAGCTGTCGCTCAGAGCAGTGTCATTTTAACTGCGTAGGTGACGTCCGGCTGCCTTTTGCAGACCTGTAAAGGGTAAATTTAGGAGAGGGGGATGTGGGAATTGAGGCTAGCCTGCTGCCTTTGCGCGGGCTTTGCCGCCTTTTCTGCCGTTCTCATGTTCCGACATGTCTCCCCTACTTTGCTGTCTGCCACGCTGGGAGAGCGGAGTGACGTAGTGTGTGTTGACTGTGGCACCGCACGCGGAGTCTCCCGAGAGGTTTTTGCACGCTGCGTCGGGAGCGGGCAGATAGATACTCCCCGGGACTGCAGACGGTGAGCCACGCAATCTTTTCCGTCCGTCGACTCCCGTCGCTCGGGGGCTCGTCGGACTTCGCTGAGGGCACCTCATGCCCAAAGCCTTTTGTTGCCCCACTGCGTACGCTCGGCCGAAGGGTGGTACGGTGTCCTAGTGCGTGGTCTAGCTACGCCGACCCGTCTCCCTCCGAAGCTAACGCGAGCGCCTTTGCCCTCGCTCAAGCAACAGGGCCTTGGTCCCGGTATCTCCGTGGATCACCTTTACCGCGGAGACGTGCTCGTGGCACCCTGTGTAGTACTTTTATGCTCGTGGCGTAGATAAGCCTATTTGCTTTCTCGTCGCGCCTTTGCAACGGGCTGTACTGCGTTCGGTGGCCACAGACAATAAAGTGTTGCGACTTTGAGCAGTATCGTGTTCTTGCCACGGCGACGGTTGACGCGTGCCCTGCGGCTCGCTAAGACTGGACCCACGCTGGTGGCCGGACTCTTTCGGGATACGTGTACACCACACAGTCAACACTTCTGTCATTCATTCTTTTCCCCATTTGTGCTGCACAGTACGTTTACCAAGTATATGGCAGATATCGTAAAAAAATGTAAGTTTCTGGAGTAAAATTTTGCTTTCAACAGCTAGTATTACAATTTTTATCCTCTCTTAAGTATAACAAATATTAACTAAATTGATTAAAAGGTTCTCTAACTAAGCATCTATATAGAGTGTAGACCACTTATATATTAATCTGTTATTTATTTATTTATTTATTTATTTATTTATTTATTCATAGTACCCTCAGGGTATAAATACATTACAGAGGGGGTGGGGTGTACATTGTAAAAAAAGAAAAAAAAAAGTATAACAATAACCATAAACAGTAAAGTGGAAGCATTACACAGAACTAGGAACATTTTGTAAAGCACGTTAGAGAACATCTATTAAACTAGTTAAATAGTTTAGAACCGGTTACAATGTGGGCTTTTTCGACTCCCATATAACCTCCGATAGAACCTGATGTATACGCATACCACTTATTGTGCAGTCCCCCAAGATTAAAAGCCAGTTATAATGCGGTTGCTGGACAATCTTTTGTGACAAACATGGTGGCGAGGGCATGTCTGACAGGAGGCGCACTGGGTGTGCTGCTTGGGAGTTGGCAATGGGGTCATTACGGAGAAGGAGGGTTTGCAGAGTGAACGAACAAAGGGTGGAGGGAAGGAAAAGAAAAGGGGAAAAAAAAACAGGCACAACGTGCGGGCTCCTCGATTGAACTAGTTAAATAGGGGTATGGTAGGGTAAATGGTATATGTAAGTTTTGGCGTAATATATTAGAAACAGCTGCAAGAATTTCCATAGAATTTTATGTGCTCCCAAAAAATGCTCCTGGGTATCAAGTGACACCCTTTTCTTATGCCTAGGTTGCTTATCCTTCCTATGGCCCTCTTCCAAATTTTAAAAGGGGTTCACTTATTCAATGCTCCTTTTCTCTGCAATTGCCAATAGGAATGTAATGATATTCAGCCATGTTTTTGTAGAGACTCACAGGTTACATCTGAACTAAAAAAATATTACATTTTTCATGAAGTTTCTGCAAAAGAAAAATTACTGCATCCACAAGGCCACGGAAGGTGCTTATTGTTGTGTAATTTTTTTACAGCCTCACTTTTCATGATAACAGCAATTTCTTTAGTTCAGATTGTTTTTAACTTGTTCTAGCTCACACATACTAAGTTTCATCAAAATAGATTCAATACTTTCTGAGAAAAGGTACATTGATGTTGAAAAATTTTTTTTAAATGCAATTTGAGAAAAACGAAGTTTTACGTGTGCATACTGCGTAAGCCAGAGGGTGCCCAGCACACTTTGCCGCAGCATTTAAACCGTTTGGGGCGCCTGCTCGACGTTGGGCTTCCACAGGTTTGTTCCTCAGAGTACAGTGAATGTTTTGTTGTCAAAATTGCAAGTTTGCTTTTTTGGGGGCTTTACCCTACCATACCCTCTTAAAGGAAAAGGGTGGTTGCCTCAGACACGGATAAGCTTTTGCAGTGGCGCCGACGCTGCTACATGCTACGCATCGCTAGCTTTGCTCCAGCCACGGGCGGCTCATCAGAGCGCATGCAATCCCATTCGTATTAACTACGCTTAACAGTTTCCAGTCAGGAAAAGCATCATTATCGAGCTCGCAACAGATATAGTGTTTGCACTGCTTACGGCTTTGTGACGTGAGCTTTCGCCTTTGCTGCCAGTGCACAGTCTTACATAGGTTTGGCGGGTTTTCATCGTCCCTGATCTCTCGGTCGCTGACGCAAACTTCGTATCACACATGCTGCTCTTGGTTGACTGCTTCAGAGCGATATTTTCGATGTTGCATCTTAATGTCTTGAACAAACCTCCCAGGACAACATACTGAACAGCAGGCTAGGCCTAATCGGTGTTGGTCGAGTTTCGATAGTGGTCGCATGCTATTTGTAGGTCATGGTTTGGTACGAAATCAACGTTCTTTGTGGGGCTGCATTAAAAGAGAAGGAGTGGGTATATTTTGCTAATAGAAACGAGGCTGGCACGTGTAGCACTTGAGTGTAGGTTCGTGATTACTTGAAATCGGGTGTCCAACCGTGAAATCAAACAATTGGCGTCTTTCAGCACACGAAATTTTGGACTTGATGCGACATAGTTTATGTGTAATGTGCATAATTGAGGTGGTCCGAGCAGTAGTCGGCGAATTTTTGTGAAGATGTTTTCTTTTGTTAGACCCCCCTTTTCGCATTCATTTTGTTGGCAACGCGTGTCTTTGGACGTTTCTTTTAACATATAAAAATTCAAATGGTTGTAAGTACTACGCATAGGATGTTTCAATTCATTGACATGCAAGGCTGCATGTTTAGCACGTTTTGGGCAAGTGTGGCCCTTGAAAAAGGTTGATTTGATTATAGTGCGATACCGCTTATAGTGCAGATACTCGTGACTCCCGCAAATTATGTTATAAGTGGTCTATACTGTATTTATCATGTGCTTAAGTATGCAGATGAACAACAGCACCAAGCTAAAGTTTCCCCTGAGAGGATTTTTTAAAAATAGTTTCACAATTCTAATTTCATATTATACTAACTTACTACTGGGCTCACATTTTATAAATCATAAAAAAGCTAACTATACAAAAAGTTCATTAGAAAAGAAAAGTATGCTCACAAATGTTGACGTGATGAAAGATATTTCCTGGTGATGTGGTAACATCCACAGGATCTCCAGTGGGGCTTTCAACTGTCGGAAGGGGTGGCACAAAGTTGTCCAAGGGGAGTCCTGGCACAAACACACTTCGGCACTCAGGCTCAAAGGCATCTAGCATATCCCAGTCAAGGGAGCGCTCTGAATAGTTAGCATTGGATGAAGGTACCAGGATGCTGCTGCTTCCATTGAGAGGCCATAGTAAGACACAAGTGGCACCAACACCAGATGGAAGTCGAAGAGTAGCAGCCAAATGCTGTGCGTCAGCATCAACATTCCACCTGTGCAGATAAAATGTTCCAAATATACTTTTTGTCACCTAGCTTAGAGTAAGGCTGTTTCCTGTTTACTACCTGTTTCTACTAGTCACATTAGGCTTAAGAAATTCCACAGGCTACTGCACTTCCAAAGTTTACCCTTTATTCCTTATGGAAAACAAAAAAGGCTCTGAAGGCTCTGAAACTATCATCATGGTTGCCACATGCTACTAATAAAAAAGTAATTATACAAATGAGCTTTTCAGAGATGCATAATTCAAAACTACATTATTATTTACAATGATGTCCAGAAGGCAGTGAAGGAAATAAACTTTTCATCAGTAACGTTGCAAGGAAATAACAAAAAGCCATTCTTAATTTTCGTGCTTACAGGAGGTTTTCAGAAGCCTAGAATGGGAGCAGTTAGGGATAAGAGTTAATGGAGAATACCTTAGTAACCTGCGCTTCGCCGATGACATTGCATTGCTGAGTAACTCAGGGGACGAATTGCAACTCATGATTACGGAGTTGAACAGGGAGAGCAGAAAGGTGGGTCTTAAAATTAATCAGCAGAAAACGAAAGTAATGTACAACAACCTCGGAAAGGAGCAGCGCTTCGAGATAGGTAATAGTGCACTTGAAGTTGTGAAAGACTATGTCTACTTAGGGCAGGTAATAACCGCAGAGCCGAACCACGAGATTGAAGTAACTAGAAGAATAAGAATGGGGTGGAGCACATTCGGCAAGCACTCTCAAATTATGACAGGTAGATTGCCACTATCCCTCAAGAGGAAGGTATATAACAGCTGTATCTTGCCAGTACTTAGCTACGGAGCAGAAACCTGGAGACTTACAAAGAGGGTTCAGCTTAAATTGAGGACGACGCAGCGAGCAATGGAAAGACAAATGGTAGGTGTAACCTTAAGAGACAAGAAGACAGCAGAGTGTATAGGGAACAAACGGGGGTTAAGTATATAATAGTTGAAATCAAGAAGGGAAAATGGACATGGGCCCGGCATGTAGCGCGTAGACAGGACAACCGCTGGTCATTAAGGGCAACTAACTGAATTCCCAGAGAAGGCAAGAGAGTTAGGGGGAGACAGAAGGTTAGGTGGGCAGATGAGATTAAGAAGTTTGGGGGTATAAATTGGCAGCAGCAAGCACAGGACCGGGTTAACTGGCGGAACATGGGAGAGGCCTTTGTCCTGCAGTGGACGTAGTCAGGCTGATGATGATGATGATTCTTAATTTTAATTCTAGTTCAGCAATCTATAACCAGCCTTGCAAGACTGAAAAAAAAAAAAATCATTGGTCCTGAATGGTCAGGTGCTCTTTTTTTGTAAGTGAAGTGCACTTTTTGTAGTCCATGTTTTTAGCATGTTTACATATTTGGTTTTACCTCTGTCAGAATGGGTGCTACCCAAGTTTGCACTCATTCAATCATCGGGGATTGACAATCTTAACTCTGCATTAATTTTGTAGCCAATGGGAGTATTCTTTGGTCAAAAAGGAAGCCCGATCACCAGATCAGATAGTGAAATGTGTTCATCGAAAACATCAAAAGAAGCACAGCCGATCTGGATCTCCATTGTCTTGGGCCATCAAGCATATCAAGTGCAGACTCCTGGGACCAGCAGTTAAAATTTCACACACTGGTATCTTGGTCTGCACAACCAATCACAATGAGCACGGAGTTCTAGGATAACGTGACAAAGTACATTGTGCGATGACTGCTAAGAATCACAACTAGAAATTTTGCACATCGCCGCCTCGACTCACACAATCAAGAACATCTTACATGGTTTTATCACACCTGCAGCTAAACATTTCGCAGATTGTCAGCTTGGACTGCATGATGAAGCACATGATGCATGAACTAACTGCAACTACAGCTAGCAATTCTGCCCATCTTTGCTTCCTCGTACTGCATTAAAAGGAATGTAGTGTGTGGACTCTACGAAACCACTACTAGGCACTCATGAGATGCATCTTGGACTCTAAGACAAGGCATAATGTGCAGCAACCACCAGAGACCCCTGACCAAGCACTTTGCAAACAGATGAAATGCAGCGCAGTGCAGTGCTACCAACATCAACAGCAGTGACACTGATGGTCAATTTTCAAGTTCGATGAGGCATCTAGGCTTTCACCTTGAAAAAAAAAAAGGCCTAAAATCAAGAAAACCAGCATTATTCTGGGTTAACCTACGATGAAACAAATGCAATGAACATAAAACCAATCCGTTTCACTGTTTCATGCAATCATAATAGCATACTTAGAGAATTATATCCCTAATGAAGACCTGACCCACGACCAAGACATGGGAAAAATGAAAATATTTTTTAGTTTTTGTCACATGCTTAAAGGGATACTGAGTATCAATTGGAAAATATGGTGAAAACATCAAAATTCAACTCGGACAACGAAACTGTTCTGATAGAGTTTTTTTCATGTATTTTTGAACAGTTGGCTGTATTCTTCGAGGATTGTCATCATGTGGTGGCTGCACTCCAGCATGATCCATGGAGTCACAGTCACTACCGCAGATGCAGGATACACATTTTCCTGTCCTGCTACTTCCCTTTCTTCACCTCTTTTTCAGATCCCACTCTCCTCCGCCCACAAAGGCATAGAGACGTGCCCCACTTTTTCTGGGCTTTACCCAACTTAGAAGCAATGTTCACTGTCTGTGCCGTTTAGTGGCTCTAAAAACTGCAGTGAGAGCTGAGTGATTTGAGAGATGTCGGCGATGGCAGGCAAGGCTTGCATGCCTGTTTTCGATGCATGAAGTGTCACGAAATGTCAACTGCTCTAGCGCCTCTAGATGTGGCAGTTTGTGAAAAATGCTTTAAATATATTATTTTTCTATAGCTTGTGCCTAAAATGAAGGTTGTGCTTATCGATTTCAGCCCACAATCTTCCAATTTAGCACTAAACCTTGGCAGCAAAATTTTTGTTCAGTATCCCTTCAATCCTTTGAGTGTTGAAATTTTCCAAATACTTTCATAGATAGTCAAATTACATTAATATGGTTTAAATGTACAAAATTTGCAAATTCATTATAAGAATGCAGGAACATTACTTTGGATTCAGTATCACTGAGAACTGCATAATGTTCAATAGTATTTCAGAGTGTCGAGAGTGTGGTAGTTCTTGTAACATGGGTCTGCGCATAGTGCCTTACCAGAGTCTGCACACATAAAATGCATGCCAGTTCTCTTGCAAAAATGAGTTGTGTTGGTGCACACATACATCTTTTCTGCATGCGGTTTCCACGGGCAGTGTTAATGCGGCAATTAAGGAGGACGATAGTACCTCGTGAGGGTCGGGGATAAACAAGCTAAGAGCAGCATAAATAAAGACGTAAATCAACTGCAAGAAAGAGCCAATAAAGATAAAAATCTAGTTCCACGTGCCTCTGTTTCGATAACGCGGCAAAACTGAAACCACGAAAGGGTGCTGCCATTTGGCATCACCACACTCGTTGTCATGACTACTGGCGACACTAACTTACGCTACCATGTTTGATGCACATATATACTCTATAAAGTGAACGGGAGGATAGCTGCCATAGTAGCTCAGTTGGTAGAGCCTCAGACACGTTATTCGATGGTCGGAGGTTCGGTCCCTGCCTATGGCAAGTTATCTTTTCATCTACTTTCTTCACATTTACATGACAATTACATTTAATAACATCACCTACACTTTCCAATCATGGTCTCTTTACACAAAAGTAAATAGGGCACTAAAATTTGGGGATTAGTATTGCCGGGTGGGATGACAGAATAACTTGCGAAATGTGGCAAAATTGGATATTTTCTGACAAAATGCAAGAAAAGGAAGATTTAGGTTAGATTTCATTGGAAGATTTAGGTTAGATTTCATTGGAAGATATAGGTTAGATCTCATTATTATTTATTGGAATGTAACACTTTTTTTTTTGTCCAGATTCTTGCTACTTAAAGTCTATTCTCGTGTTACAATCGAGTATCGAATGAACTATTTTTTTCTTCCTTGACGCAATTAAATGTCACCCCTCACGTTACAATCATGGCCACTTTACAACAAAGTAAATAGGGCACTAAAATTTGGGAATTAGTATTGCCGGGTGGGATGACAGAATAACTTGCGAAATGTGGCCAAATTGAATCATTTCTGACAAAATGCAAGAGAAGGAAGATTTAGATTAGATTTCATTGAATTTATTATACTAGCAGTACAATTATAGTAAGAAGGTATGAAACGCACCTAAAACAGAAAGATCAAAGGATCAAGCGTACGAGATTTTCGACAGATGACGGTAGGCAGTAGAGTGTCTTATTAGCTAGGGTGTGGTTTTCATGCCAACTCGATTGAATGGGTTGGCCACATAATCATTATCACTTCCTCCCTCCCTTTCATTTCATGAGCTATGCCTCACATGACACGTATCTGCGAAAACTATGTTGAGCTTGTGTAAAAAAAAGAATAAGATACAAGAAAGCTAATAAGGTTCGTAAAAATTCTGTTTTCTAATGGATGAAGAAAAGTGTATATTTTAAGGACTCGTTTTCTTTGCTAGACACAAAATTAATGAGAACACACAATAATTCCAGGGAAAATATAGCAGATGGTATTATACTCTGTTTCACACATCATGTGCAATGTTGCCGAAGCTAGCGAGACTTTTGGAGTCTATGTGTTCGCAACAAAAAGTAGTTCGACGTTCTTACCAACAATAATTTAATTTTTCTTTCATTATTACGGCAAGAAATAATTGAAGATTTTGTCACGTGCTTGCTCAAGAAAGATGATGGCAGTTGTGCATGTGCCACGAAGGTTTACGAAATGGACGAAAAAGAAGAACTCGCTTGCGTGTTCTAATTAAAAGATCGACCTGCTTCTGGTGTCTCAATCTCTGCGGCGAGACCTCTGTTTTGACGTCGTGACATTGGTGGAGGTGCTGGAGCCTACAACCTAATGCAGGACAGTCTTGCTCGGACCCGTTCACCTAGTCCAGACACTCAGCCCCTCGCCATGACTAA